AGTTGGGGTGTTGTGCTGACTGACTGCTCTCTTCTCCTATTGGCTGTAATTTGGTGGGTCAAAAGAATATTCCACCAATCACAGTGAATTAAGGGACTTCGGGAAGTATGTAATGTACGAAAATATGACACAACAAACAAGCATGCCATACGGCCCCCTGGGACCCCTAGGAAGGTCTCTGGGGGCACTACCATACCTGGAAAGGTCTTTGGGGGTGTGGATGCCCCTGGGAGTGTCCTCTGTGGTGTCACCGTCCCTGGGAGGGTCTCTGGGATGGTCCCTGGAGGCTCTGCTGCCCCTGGAATGGTCCCTGTGCACTCCTCTTCCAATGAGAGGGACTCCAGGTGCACCACCGCCCCTGGGAGGGACCCCTGGGTGGTGCCACCGACCCTGGGAGGGTTTCCAGTGCGCCACTGCCCCTGGAACGGTTTCTGGGATGGTCCCTGGGGGCTGTGTTGCCCCTGGGTGCCGCCGTCCCTGGGAACAACCCTGAAGGCGACCCCGTCCCTGTCAGGGACCCTGTGAGGGTCATTTAGCCATGCAAGGCACGGAGGCGCCCCCCAGAGCCCTCTCAGGGTCGGCGGTGCCCCCAGGGGAGCTGTCAGGGGCGCTGGATCCATCAGGGGCACTTCTAGGGACAAATGCGATCCTAGGGGCCTTCTCTGGGAAGGCGGCATCGACAGGGGCTCCTCCAGGAACAGCCGAGCTTCCATGGGCCTCTCAGGGACGGCAACGCTCCAAGGGACCCTCGCAGAGACGGCAACACTCCTAGGGACCCTCACAGGGACGGCGGCGCCCCCATGGGCCCTGCTAGGGGCGCTGGTGACCCTAGGGGCTCTCACAGGGACACCCATGATCCCAAGGACCTTTCCAGGGAAGGGGGTGCCTCCACGTACGTACTTAGTGACTGAGGTGCTCTCAGAGGCCCTGCCAGCGGCGGTGGTGCTTTTAGGGGCCCTTTCAGAGGCGGTGGCTCCCCTCGGGCCTCTTTATGGGGCGCCACGGCTCCCAGGGACCCTGCCAAGGCCTGTGGCTCACAATAGGTCACTGCCACTGGAGGGCGCCACTGCTCCCAGGGCCCTGCCAACGCCTGTGGCTCACAATAGGTCCTCCTAGGGGAGGCGGCGCCCCAAAAATGGATACTGGTGTCGTAAATATTGCATTCTTTCAGTAATCTCTTACTTAACTGTGATTGGTGGAATAAGAGTAACATCATCAAATTACAGCCAATAGGAAAACAGGCAACCAGTCAGCACAACACCCGAACTTATGCTTTGCTGTTGGATATTTATTCTCCTTTTCATTGTTCAGGTTATGATAATACTGAAAATGCTATGGGCAGTGTGTATTTTATTTAACATCATATCTCCCAGATTGTAAAATAGTGAAACGAGAATAAATATCCAACAGCAAAGCATAATTTGGGGTGTTGTGCTGACTGACTGCTCTCTTCTCCTATTGGCTGTAATTTGGCGGGTTAAAAGTCCACCAATCATAGTTAAGTAAGGGACTTCGGGAAATATGTAATGTTCGAAAATATGACACAACAAACAAGCATGCCATAGGGCCCCTGCGACCCCTAGGAAGGTTTCTCGGGCACTAACGTCAATGGAAAGGTCTCTGGGGGTGTGGATGCCCCTGCGAGTGTCCTTTGAGGTGCCGCCGTCCCTGGGAGGATCTCTGGGATGGTCCCTGGAGGCTATGCTGCCCCTGGAACGCTCCCTGTGCACTCCTCTTCGAATGAAAGTGACCCCAGGTGCAACACCGACCCTGGGAGGGACCCCTGGGGGCGCCACCGACCATGGGAGGGTTCTCGGTGAGCTACTCCCCCTGAAACGGTCACAGGGATGGTCCCTGTTGGCTGCGCTGCCCCTGGGTAGGTCCTTGCAGGCTCCGCTGCTCCAGTCAGGGTCCCAGGGGTGCTGTCGCTCCTGAAAATGCACATGAGGATGCCACTGATGTTGCAAGGGCCCCTGGGGGCATCGTCACCACTGGGGGGCACCCTGAGAGCGTCGCAGCACCTGGGAGGGTTCCTGATATGTCCACCATCCCTGAGATGGCCCCTGGGAGCGCCAGGCCTGTAGGACCCATGGGTGCAGTAGTTTATGCTCAATTTATTACACTGGGTGATGCAACGTTAAATAAATACACCGCCCATCACATTTCCACCAGTATCATTGCATTCTGAAGCAGGTAACGGAGAATAATATCAACAGGAAAACATAAGTTGGGGTGTTGTGCTGACTGACTGCTCTCTTCTCCTATTGGCTGTAATTTGGCGGGTTAAAAGTCCACCAATCATAGTTAAGTAAGGGACTTCGGGAAGTATGTAATGTACGAAAATATGACTCAACAAACAAGCATGCCATAGGGCCCCCTGGGACCCCTAGGAAGGTCTCTGGAGCCACTAACGTCCCTGGAAAGATCTCTAGGGAGTGTGGATGCCCCTGAGAGTGTCCTTTGAGGTGCCTCCGTCTCTGTGAGGGTCTTTCGGATGGTCCCCGGAGGCTCTGTTGCCACTGGAATGGTCCCTGTGTATTCCTCTTTCAATGAGAGGGAGCCCAGGTGCACCACCGGCCCTGGGAGGGTCCCCTGGGGGCGTCACCGAACCTAGGAGGGTTTCCAGTGCACCACTGCGCCTGGAATGGTTTCTGGGATGGTCCCTGGGGGCTGCGCTGCCCCTGGGTAGGTCCCTACAGGCTCCGCTGCTCCAGTCAGGGTCCCTGGGGTGCCGTCGCTCCTAAGAATGCACCTGAGGATGCCACTGATGTTGCGAGGTCGCCTGGGGGCACCGTCACCACTGGGGGACACCGTGGGGGCGTCGCAGCACCTGGGAGGGTTCCTAATATGTCCACCACCCCTGAGATAGTCCATGGGAGCACCAGGCCTGTAGAGCCCATGGGTGCAGTAGTTTATGCTCAATTTATTACTCTTGGAGATGCAACGTTTAATATATACACCGCCCATCACATTTCCACCAGTATCATTGCATTCTGCAGCAGGTAACGGAGAATAATATCAGCAGGAAAACATAAGTTGGGGTGTTGTGCTGACTGACTGCTCTCTTCTCCTATTGGCTGTAATTTGGCGGGTTAAAAGTCCACCAATCATAGTTAAGCAAGGGACTTCGGGAAGTATGTAATGTTCGAAAATATGACACAACAAACAAGCATGCCATAGGGCCCCCTGGGACCCCTAGGAAGGTCTCTGGGTGCACTAACTTCCCTGGAAAGGTCTCTGGGGGTGTGGATGCCCCTGGGAGTGTCCTTTGAGGTGCCGCCGTCTCTGGGAGGGTCTCTGGGATGGTCCCTGGAGGAACTGCTACCACTGGAATGGTCCCTGTGCATTCCTCTTCCAATGAGAGGGGCCCCAGGTGCACTACCGCCCCTGGGAGGATCCCTGGGGGCGCTACCGACCCTGGGAGGGTTTCCAGTGCACCACTGCCCCTGGAACGGTTTCTGGGATGGTCACTGAGGGCTGTGCTGCCCCTGGGTAGGTCACTGCAGGATTTGCTGCTCCAGTCAGGATCCCTGAGGTGCCGTCGTTCCTAAGAATGCACCTGAGGATGCTACTGATGTTGCGAGGGCCCCTGGGGGCACCGTCGCTACTGGGGGGCACCCTGGGGGCGTCGCGGCACCTGAGAGGGTTACTGGGATGTCCACCACCCCTGGGATGGCCCCTGGGATGGCCTCTGGGAGCGCCAGGCCTGTAGGGCCCATGGGTGCAGTAGTTTATGCTCAATTTATTACTCTGGGAGATGCAACGATAAGTAAATACACCACCCATCACATTTCCACCAGTATAATCGCATTCTGAAGCAGGTAACGGCGAATAATATCAACAGGAAAACATAAGTTGGGGTGTTGTGCTGACTGAGTGCTCTCTTCTCCTATTGGCTGTAATTTGGTGGGTTAATAGAATCGTACACCAATCATAGTTAAGTAAGGGACTTCGGGAAGTATGTAATGTACGAAAATATGACACAACAAACAAGCATGCCATAGGGCCCCCTGGGACCCCTAGGAAGGTTTCTCGGGGCACTAACATCCCTGGAAAGGTCTCTGGGGGTGTGGATGCCCCTGGGAGTGTCCTTTGAGGTGCTGCCGTCTCTGGGATGGTCCCTGGAGGCTCTGCTACCACTGGAATGGTCCCTGTGCATTCCTCTTCCAATAAGTGGGGCCCCAGGTGCACCACCGCCCTTGGCAGGATCCCTGGGGGCGCTACCGATTCTAGGAGGGTTTCCAGTGCACCACTGCCCCTGGAACGGTTTCTGGGATGGTCACTGGGGGCTGTGCTGCCCCTGGGTAGGTCACTGCAGGATTTGCTGCTCCAGTCAGGATCCCTGAGGTGCCGTCGTTCCTAAGAATGCACCTGAGGATGCCACTGATGTTGCGAGGGCCCCTGGGGCACCATCACCACTGGGGGACACCCTGGGGCGTCGCGGCACCTGAGAGGGTTCCTGATATATCCACCACCCCTGAGATGTCCTCTAGGAGCGCCAGGCCTGTAGGACCCATGGGTGCAGTAGTTTATGCTCAATTTATTACTCTGGGAGATGCAACATTAAGTAAATACACCACCCATCACATTTCCTCCAGTATAATCGCATTCTGAAGAAGGTAACAGCGAATAATATTAACAGGAAAACATAAGTTGGGGTGTTGTGCTGACTGACTGCTCTCTTCTCCTATTGGCTGTAATTTTATGACGTCACATCTTACTCCACCAATCACGTTTAAGTAAGGGATTTGGAAGTATGTAATATACGAAAATATAATACAACAAACAAGCATGCCATATGGTCCCCTGGGACCCCTAGGAAGGTCTTTGGGGGCACTACTGTCTCTGGGGGTGTGGATGCCCCTGGGCATGTCCTTTGAGGTGCCGCCGTCCCTGGGAGGGTCTCTGGGATGGTCCCTGGAGGCTCTAGTACCCCTCGAATGGTCCCTGGGCACTCCTCTTCCATTGAGAGTGACCCCAGATGCACTACCGCCCCTGCGAGGTACCCCTGGGGGCGCCACCGACCCTGGGAGGGTTTCTGGTGCACCACTGCCCCTGGAATGGTCTCTGGGATGGTCCCTGGGGGCTACACTGCCCCTGGGTTGGCTCCTGCGGGCTCCGCTGCTCCAGTCAGAGTCCATGGGGTGCTGTCGCTCCTGAAAATGCACCTGAGGATGCCGCTGTTGTTGCGAGGGCCCCTGGGGGCACCATCGCCACTGGGGTGCACCCTGGGGGCACTTCTCTACCCATGAGATGGACCCCAGGTGCACCACCGTCCCTGGGAGGGCCCTTGGGGGCGACGCCGTCCTTGGGAGGGACCGTGAGGGGGCCACTGTTTCTGGGTGGGCCCCAGGGAGAGCTGCCACCCCTTTAAAGGTCCCTGGAGACGCCACCGCCTTTGGGAGACTCCTTGGTCAGATTCCTGGAGGCGCGGCTCTCCCTAGAGGATCCCTGAAGGCTATGATGTACCTGAAATGTTCCCTGGGGGCACCGACATCGCTGGTAGGGTTTCCGGGTGAGCCGCCGCGCCTGGAAGAGTCCCTGGGGGCGCCACCACCCCTGGGAGGATCCTTAGATTCGCCACTACCCCTGGGAAGGTCCTACAATACGTCACCGTGCCTGGAAGGGTTTTTTAGGGCGCTCCCGTCCCTGGGAAGGGTCCTGGATGCACGGCTGCCCCTGGAAGGGTTCCTGGGGGCACTGGAGCCTCTGGAAGGATTCTTGGGGACTCACCGCCCATACAAAGGTCCCGGGGGGCACTGATGTCCCTGGGAGGGTTCCCGGTGCGCCACTTGCCATAGGAGGGTCCCTGGGGGTTCTACTGCCCCTGAGATGGTCCCTGGGGGCTCTGCTGGCCCTGTGAGGGTCCCTGGGTTCATCACCACCCATGGTAGGGTCCTTGGGGTGCCGTCGCTCCTAAGAATGCACCCGGGGATGCCGCTGTTGTTGCGAGGGCCCCTGGGGGCACCGTCGCCACTGGGGACACACTGGGGGTGTGGTTGCTGCTGGGAGGCCTCCTGGGTGTGCCATCGCCCCTGGGAGGGTCTTTGGGAGCGCCACAGTCCCTGTGGGTGCAGCTGCCCATGGGAGAGTCACTGGGGGCCCTGCCACCCCCGAGAAGGCCCCTGGAGGCGCCACTTCCGCTGAGAGGGCGCGTGGAAGGCCTCCTGGGGGATTATCTGCCCCTGGCATAGTCTCTAGTAGTGCTGCTGACCCTGGAAGGGTCACTGGGGGCCCCTAGGACAGTTGTTTTTGCACTATTTATAACTCTGAGAGATATGACGTTAAATATATACACCGACCATCACATCCTGAACAATGAAAATGTAGAAAAAATATCCAACAGGAAAACATAAGTTGGGGTGTTGTGCTGACTGACTGCTCTGTTCTCCTATTGGCTGAAATTTTATGACGTCACATCTTACTCCACCAATCACGTTTAAGTAAGGGATTACTGGACGAATGCAAAATGTACGACACCACGACCAAGCAAGCTATGACTCCTGGGAAAGGGCGCCGCTGACATAGGGATGGCCCCTGAGGGTGCCGCCATCCCTGGGAGGGCCCCTGGGGCACCGCCACTGCTGGAAGGGCCATTGGGGGCGCCGCCACTCCTGGAAGGACCCATGGAGGCGTCAGCACCCCTGGGAGAATCCATGACGTTGCCGTTATGGACTATAGATTCGTTATCAGCAGGCTCAGGAGTACCTATACTGAGATGAGATTTTCAGGAAACTTTAATTTTTGGCCAAAACCACCAAAAATGTAAGTCTTACATCCAAGTAATTTGTCGAACTAAATATACTTTTCTCTCGGAATTGGAATTAATGATAGTTTAGATCAGTGGTGTCAAACTCAAAACCTTTCGAGGGCCAATTCTATTTTCAGTTACCCTCTTCAGGGCCAACACAAGTGCTATATCACATAGTTGCAGAATTGAAGTTTACAGCTTCACACATTACCTTACCTGGCTTACCAGGAATACCTCATCTGGGTTTGTTTGATCTTAAGTATGCAAACTTCATTTTACTAAATAAACATGATTATATCTATTTCTTTCATAATTTCACTGGATGATAAATTTTACCGTCATCCCACGCACACACCTGACCCATCCCAGCCATTTGCTCAAGGGCCAGGAGTTTGACTCGCGTCTTACACCTTACAAAATTTTTTACCAAAATATTTTTTTCTCAAATTGAAATTTAAGGGGTTTAACTAATTAAATACTTTCAGAATAACACACAAACCCTAAATCACACCTTGGAAACCCATAGTTGATGAGTAATTAGCATTGAAAAATGTCAGTAAATTCATTCAAGGGTCATTTTGGCCACTAATTACTCTGCAATCGAATCGTGGACCACATATTCATAATCAGCAAGCTAAGGAGTACCTATAGTGTGAGGAGATGCGCATCTGCCAATGGTCAGTCACAAAATTCTATCATCATCACAATAGCTGTATTTCAATTGCAAATCTTGAATAAAGGGTCACTAATAATTTTTTGTGAATAAGTGAATTTGCAAGTATGGAGCTTGCAAACACAGGGGGATTAGTGCATACTAAATATTACAAAAATATTTATATAACTCAGTTTTTTCCAAGGTATTTTTAAATAAATTCCAAGAGTATAGCCATCCCGAGTTATGTTAAATTCCAGATTATCAAATGTCAAGTTATCCAGGGTTTACTGCATATACAGTATCTCTGTATGCATGTACAAACACATAACATGCCTTGTGTTTTGACTTTTCATGTGACCTGGTGTTGAACTCAAAACCTTGCCCCATGGATGGTTCTGCACAGCATTTTTTGCACTCAGCTTCAGCACATCATGTTGGAAGTGCATTGTTCTCTTATTGATAGCATTGACACTACAGTATCTGGTCAAATGTAATTTAAACTAAACTGTTTTTAAGTGAGGTGTCAGCTTAAACCCCTCGTGCTGAATAAAACTGTCTGGCATTAGTAAAAATAAAATAACGAAAGTGGCCTCCCCATAGTGAAGGGGTTAAACACCTGAAGTGGCCCCTGAATTAGTTAAGACCTGGTCAAAGTAAATCATAAATAGACTTATTAATGTAAAAGTTAACCCTTGATAACTCAGAATGGCAGTAAAATATTATACTGTAAATTATTTTTTCCATAACTCAATATTCCGAGATATGATGATGCAATCTCAGAATGGCATAACACGTGTGTAGTTTCATTATATATTTCAGCTCAATGTCCAGGTGGGAATAGCTTGAACATATATTATAGGCTCTGTCAGTAAGAATACACTAGATTTTGTTTGTAATTAAGAGGAATGAATGTTGAAAATTTTGTGTTTAGAAACTGTAATGCTATGTTAACTTTAAAAGTTTCGTGAAAGGTAAATTTTAGAATAATCTTTAGTTTATATTGTATATTACCTGTAATTTTTAAAAAATTTGCCTGTTTTCAAGTTCATGACAGAAAATGATTTTCCTTAATGTTAGTAATTAAAGAAACCAAACTTAGTCAAGATATTTGTGTTTTCCCTCTTTAACAATTGTTTCTCTAAGAGATTAACAGATACAGTACTCTTATAGGCAAAACCCTTAATAGGATTTTTTGTCCCACACAGCATCAAATCCACATCACTCCTAAATATTCTATCTATTTCACCATCCCTTACACAGGCCAACTTAGTTTCACCCTTGGAAACAAACTTAAGAAGCTTCTCAATATACTCTATCCACATTTCTCTAAGGCTACCAAAGACCAGAGTTCAATAAATAAATTCTTTAAAACTACAGATACCATACCCACACACTTGCAAACCTCAATTTAACAATTTATAAGTGCTAGCTGTAGGGCAGCATATAAGTATAGGTAAAACAAAAAGATACTTGATAACTAGCATCCAGGAGCACTTGTGCCGTTCCACCCAAACTGGCCACAATTGCACAACCATTACATTCAGCTATCCCCAGCCCACCAACCTGACACCCGTTCTCGCAGTCTGATTTCTCAGTTCTTGGCAGGAGCCACTGTGAGATGGACCTCCTCATAATGGAAGCCTTGTATCAATACAAAGTAAAGCCATCCATTTGTGATATGGTTTCCTGTGAATTTTTGTTTTTCTCACTTAGGCTTGTTTTAGTTTGTTCTGATTTTAGTTTTGTACGTAGGTCTCCCATGTTTTTAGTGGTTTTAAATTGTAATGTTATGTTACTTTTGAAAGTTTTGCAGAAGATAAATTTTAGAATATGTTTATTTTTTTTTTGGTATATTACCTGGATTTTTTGTTAAATCTTTTTCTGTTTTTTCAAAATGTTAGTCATAAAGAAATGTGTTTTCCCTTGTTCGCCACTTCATTATGAAGCTACGCTTTCCTTGTAACAAGTCCATTGCTTAAGTTATTAAACTCTTGTAATAGCTTATTAATCCCATCATCTAAGGGCAATCTTATATACACATATAAAAACTGACCAAAAATGAATTCAAGAGGATATAAAAACACAAGACTGGATATGAGGCTTTATATAAAATATCAAATAAATGCTTAATTTTTTCCATGTGACAAAGTAGAAAAGAGTAAACTAAGAGAAACAGAGCTTGATTATAATGACAAACTTTTATAACAAATCTAATAATTAAAATATAGTGAGGATGTGGATCTTAAATGAACCTCAAAAGCATACATTAAAAGCTTGTTATATTAACATGATATGATTACTGTACAAAATGTTGTTATCCAATAAAATTATTCTTGAAAAAATAAAAATAAGTGATCTGGGGATGGACTATGTTTCTTCCCAGTAAAAATAACCAATTATGACAATATATTCCTCTACTTTGTAAATAACTGGTAACTATCTGTTGATATAGGGGTATGGCTCCAATAAATAATTAAAGTCCCATTATTCGCCTAATGATGAAATTTAGCATCAAACTTACACGGCATTTCTTTCACCATAACCTACCAGATACACCCGTGAGACTCATACAAGGCTTCCAGCATCTTCATATCTGAAATGAATCAATGAGAAAATAATTAAAACTGAAGTTGTCTCTGTAGAACACAGGATTAAATGTGTCCAAAGACCAAAAACCTTATTCAAATACTGTATTAAAAAATCATGTCAAATTCTTCAAACAGGTAATTCGCCACCGAAACATTTGAATGCCCCAAAATTTCATTACTATATACCTATACTGGTAATGAAATCTCTTAACTGTAATCCTGTAACATTTTGGTTAGGATGGAAAATCAGACCAGTTAAAATAAATATGCCTTCATGATAGCAAAAATTATTCAGTTCCAACCTTCTGTCTGAACCTTTCTTTGTGTGCTCTTTATTTTGAACTGGGACTCATTCAAGATTTTACACCGAAACCAAGTAACCCTTAATTGTGTAGAATGATGAGCAGCATCCAAATTGGGGAAACTGGAGACATGTTCTCCCATTTTTTTCCTTAAATTAGTGTAGTCCCATGAAATTCAATGATTTTTGTTCAACTGTATGGTCCCAGAGATTAAATAAAGAGGACTGCATGTCTTTAATAAAACATCCATATGACTCAAAACTACTTGTAAGTTGGCTGTATTCTCTGTTTTACCAACCAAATATTTGATTCCCTTATGAATCCCGAGAATCAAAATACCAAAAGATAATTTACATTCTTAAACAGTACTGGTTTTACATTTCAAAGCAAATGTACTCACCGCATCAATATCAGCCACTACATCCTCCTCCTCCTCAGAATAGTCATCAAACTCAATATCGTCATCCATGCCATCTTCTACGAATGTTGCATTTTCATTCACCTTAACTGTTTGAAGAATAAAGAAATGGCTGTTAGTTAACGTAACAATACTGATGGGTGGAAAAAGGTCTAAAGGGTATGGAGAGGTAAAAAGAATAAACAGTGGTAAACAAGGTCAGGAAACTTCAAATGAGACCAACCCTTCAAAGAGGAGCTACTAGTGGGAGGCATGATAAGATATGGTAAAATCACTTAGGTAAGAATAATAATAATAATAATAATAATAATAATAATAATAATAATAATAATAATAATAATAATAATAATAATATTACAAGTACTGCAATAATAATAACTACTGTACATATGTCCCAATTATGCAGTCTATTTGAGAAAAATTGGGGCTTTGGATATATTTTGCATAACACAAACATTTAAAAAACCATTGAAAGCAACTAAAGGTAGACCCCAGTTTATGAAGCCTAATGCTTGAATGAGCGTTGGTCATAGTTCAAAGCATCAGCCAGCAACGTTCGTACAAGTAAACAATGTGGGAACTTAGGATGACAAAAACTCAACAGGGATCAAACACGTGATTTTTTCAAGATCATATAGTATCTCAACTTATATAATAGGGGTCAATGTATTAGAGTACTGTACTAAAGTAATACAACTACAGGTATTATAGATGTTACAAAAGCAGATCATACTGTTCGCATTGTTTCAAATCTCGTCCAGTGTCTCTTTAAACACGTGTATAAAATAATTACTATACTGAATGTATTTCACTTATAATGTTTTTTAATAATTTAATCATTGTGAATGCCCAAAATTATAATTAAAAACATGTTTTATAGCATTTTAAGACATCTTGGGGAAGTTTCTTTTTCTTTACTTGGGAATGAATTTTAGCTTATATAATGGATTTTAATTTACAGAAGGCTTTTCTGGAAAATAAGGAAACACTATTCTGCCAGTAGAATGTTGTTACAATTGCAATGTTCCCTCACATCTATATACTGGTGGCACTTCAATACTATGGTAATATACTGTATACTGAAAATTTGCTTTAGCTGAATATAAGATCAGGTGGCTGCTTCGATATAATGTAGCTACTGGATTCTTAGAAATGTCTTCTCTGATTATGATAAAAGGCAATACAGTATTACACACTTTAACTCTCAAAGCAATGGCAGCTGCCTCGGGGTAACCTGAACTTTGAAAATTCAACAGTTTTTGCCAAGTTCCTAACCCTAAAGAATAAAGGAGTCCCAATGAAACCTAACTAAAGCACGAGGTAATCCAGAAATGATCAAGAAGGTCAAAGCAGAGGAGTATGAAATAAAAATAAAAAATATCTCCGATTTTCAAAGAATTCAATCAACATAATTCTCATCTTCTGTTAGCCACTAAGCCAAGAGAAAAATTACCTGATTCTGGGATCTCGCCATAAGATTTCAAATTTCGGGCTTCATCTGCATTGTATTTAAGGATCACATCAGCTTTTTTGTCTTGGTAGTCACGTAATCCAAGAAGAATAATGTCTCCTTGGTTGATCCATACCTGAAAAAATCACAATTTCATTTAAAATTCAGTGAAACTTTTATCGACTTAAAAATACCGGATTGTCCTATATCTAGATAAATACGTATCATTAACAAACAATCAAGGAATCATCCCCACTAAGTTAACATACAGGAAATATACACTGATTTTAATTTACCATACTGTAGTAATATAACAAAAACATAAAATAAGATGCAAATTTATGGTTTTGACCCAATAACTTCCAACTACAGGGAGAGATGAATTTCACTGAAAAAGGACGATCTTCTAGTCAGATTTTAGCTCTGTTGTAACCTGAATAATAAAGGATTAATCCCCTTTTCTGGTAAAGCCCCTGGCCAGATACATGTTTTTCTTGTAATAGCTAAGGGCAACTTCCTAAGAGGGTCTTGGTGTTCTTAGACTGATCTCCCAAGGTTATTCTGGGTAAGTTAATTCATTCTGAAAACAAAACAACTCCTCCATCACTGGCTTCAAATACAGTGGCACAAAGCAGCAGTTTCCCCTTAGATCTATAGGTTATAAATACTAGTGCACATTTTGAAGAAATACTTACTTTTTTACGGAGTTTTCCTCGAATATGACATAGTCGTTTCATGCCATCTGTGAAACAGAGAGCCTCCAATCTTCCATTCCCAAGCATTTTTGTAACCTGATGATTATAATAATATTAGTAAAAGCTGGTCTTTTGTTTCTTAAAAGTGCTAGTTCTTCTAAGATATTCACTAGCGCTCGAAACACTACAAAGGCAAAGACTCAAGAATAAAAAGAAACACTGTACCACAATAAAAGATCACAAAAAGTGACAATTTGACTTCTATCATTCATATGCCCTTAAGTTTTAATACTTCCTAAAATCAGCAATTCCCCATCAATATACCCTGTTCAGGATCATAAGCTTTCAAAAAAAGAAAGATCTTAAGTTATTTCTTAAAGGCCTCTACAGAAGTTAGCTGCTACATGGAAGCAGGCAACTGGTTGTACAATCTGGGTGCTGTATAGGAAAAGGATCGGGCAGCAAAAGAATATTCCTGTACAGCTCTAGGCCCCTCAAAGAGTGAAGAATCACCACTACTATGCACAATTATTTCAGAATATCTAGTCAGTGGAATTAGTAGGTTGACCAAAATACTTAGATTCACCAAACGTCCTCAGTGGGAGAGCAAAAATAAGCCTGACAACATTTCATAATTAGTAAAAGGATGAATGAAGTATAGTATATCAGATTACCTCACATATATGGATCCAATGACTAGCTACTATAAAAGAAATACCTGTACAACAACAAATCTTCACAAAAAAGCTGGTTTAATTATCTGGCCAAACTCACTCTGTAGTCTATATGACACTATGGCATCCAATCCTAATGCATTAACATTCAATATTTCTCCATTATCTTGTTCTTTTCCACTCCTTTAACTTCTTCCTCATACTATTTCTATTTTTCCTTTGAATATAATAATTACAAAGCAAATCTCAGGTATTTATGCAAGTACAAACCAATTACCTCATAGCACACCTACACATAAAATCAATAATGGCACCAGGGCTGTGGAGTCGGAGGAAATTTCAGCTTGTGGAGTTGGAGTCGGTAAAATTGTCCAGACTCCGACTCCGACTGAAGCTATTCTGTTCCTAAGAACAAATATATGAACTCAGGCATATTCATTGCAGTGATTCCACTGATCCCACTAATTTTCTTAAATTATTAAAAGAATTTATTTCCATTTTATAAGCATTATTAAAAGAATTTATTTTAGCAGGCACAGTATAGCACTATAATTTTGGACGATAGTCTCTTCTTTACCATTTGAAATTTTGAATTATATCAAATTTTGTTTCGTTGAAAACTGCACAGAGGCTCTCGGCTACAAAACAATTAGCTACAACCTGTTTTTGGTGAGATTAAGGCAAATTTAATTTAATAACTTAATCATGTAAGGTTTATCCATTTTCCTTAATAAGGTATTCATTTCTTTAATGTACATAAATATATAACTTTACTTTAAAAGGAATTATAGGATCATCATTTAGATCCACATCAGATTATGAGCTTAAACAAAATTCATATGCTGAGATCGAACTTTTAGATATACATGTAAATGGTGTTTTCTAGTTAATATCTTGAATTCTTAATAAATTTATTTTTCTTTTGATTGAAACTTTGAAAGTCAAGCCTATCATCTTTTTGTAGTTCTTAAATATCGTCCAGATCATTAATAAAGCTGTAGCAGTATAGCCACGGTGTTTTACTTTTTACCTATGCAGGTTACAACATACAAATTACAATTAGGATGGTAGAAATAGTTGTTACAAATAGGCCAAGGAGTCGGAGTCGGAAGCATAAAAATTTGAGGAGTCGGAGTCGAAGGTTTTGTCTTCGACTCCACAGCCCTGAATGGCACAATGCTGTACAATGATAAATGTTTCTGTAGTTTCATTTAAATTCTTACAAAGGTTAAAAAGTTACAGACCAGACATGAAATATATGATAAGACAAACAACAACTACAATATATGCTCCCTGATTTCTGGTAGTATTATGATTTCAATGACAATCTTAACCACTTGTGTTTGGGGTCCCCTCTCTACAGAATAAAATTGTCTGGTGTTAGCAAAATAAATATTAAAAGTGGCGTCCCCGTAGTAACAGGGTTAAACACAGTCAGAGCTATCAATTAGTTAATAAAGGGGTAAATTGATCTACTGACTTGGCTCTGATCACTTGGTATTTTCAACAATTCTAACATTCCGTGAAAGTTGAGCAAATGCTAAGTTTGCCATGCCGTGTAGTGGTAGAATGACTAGGCAACAAGCAACTGACTTATACAAACAAACTGTTGTAGAGGATGCTGGTGTATTGGAACACAAACCCACCTGAGCATATTCCTGCCCTTCCTCTTTGAAGATCAATTCTCGCTTCTCTGCTTCATTCTCATTCTTACCACGCCTCCTGTTCTTTCCTCCCTTTCCTGCAAAAGAAACGTGTTACAGTTATCAAAATAACCACACAGCTCTTCTCAAGATTTACCAAATACACTGATTCGGTAGTAATCAATACAGTACAGCGTATATTACTCATTCTAATTTAAGCCTAATCCATTCTAACTAAACAATTAGGCATAGCTGGAGTGTGGTTATTACCCCTTTTGCTACTTCAATCTCAAATTATGAGAAAAGAAGTGACATTTCTTAATGTGCAGAATTCCCATTTTTGCCACAAACACCGGCTTACAATATCATAACTGATTTATAACAACTCATACCTAGGACAAGTTGTACCCAGGTCAACTCATACCCCACTTTATTGATAACTTGTACACACTTTATTGATAGTTGATCCTTATATCTTTATTAATACTGTTACAGTATTATTATTATTGTTGTTATTATACGGCAAATGTGTATACTATGCATATACTATGACATTATCACAAATAAAGGCTTACAGCAAACAATCTGCTTATTTGTCAGGTGAGGGATGGTAAGTGGTCGAGTTACAATGTTACTTCCGGTAAATTTTAGCTCTCATTCATTCTTTAATGAGTGCTGGTGATGATGGTTTCTGTCCCTTACCCTTGTTAAGATGAGAAGTCTGACCTAGACAAGAGGCCTAGTCCTGTGATGTGTAGCAGATGTTGACAAGACTAGTGGCACACAGACTTCACGAGTTGTGGGGTCAATATGAAGAAAAACAAATCACAACGGCACAATTTTAAAGATCCTGAATGATTTTAATACAGGTACCATTTTAGGCTGTACCCTTTTGTACTGATGAATAAACTTTTTAACCAACTCCATTTATATTGATAATTGAACATTTTAACCGACTCCCTGTGTACCATCAGCGAATTCATGATGGTGACTGTACTTTAGTTAGTGGCTTCTGGTACATTTGGGTACAAGTTGACCAGGCAGTGGGTAAGCATTGACATGTTCTGCTGGGTACAAATCGCATGGTTACGAGTTGTCCTGCGCACTCTTATAACTAGGACGGTGATTTTCCAGTACAATGCCAATCCTCCTTTATGAGCAATAGGGGTTGGGTGTAAATGGGACTGCCCAGTATAGGCCACTGCAGTTTCCTCCATTCTTATGTTCTTATGTAGGTGAGCACAATGACTAGGTTAGGTCCTTCTAATTCCTCATTTTCCCTCTACTTCAGAGTGCTGCCCATGTTTGGTGGGGTCAACAAAGACAGGGTAAGAAGGGTCATACTAAATAATTACGCATATGACAAAACTTTTCAATATTACCTGTCTGGCCCCGGGTATGTGTTAGTCATTTGCAAGGGAAGCGTCATAGAAGAAAAGTGTCTTAGAATTGTCTAAACTAATGATTCCAATAGTTAAATTCCGAAGATTCCCCGGTTGACCAAAACTAAAATAATACCGTCTAAACTACAAATAATCCATAAAATAGGTAAAATTCTCGTTTCGGTCATCCACCTATTTGGAAGTTGCTTAAAACACAAACAAAAAAACCTAATTTCAACCTATCTTCCTAACTTTTTACCACCTGATGTTGGGCTTAGCAGTATACACTGAAATTGAGACAAGGACCATTGCAAATTTTGCCAGTAATGAATTCCCTAAAACAAAGATAAGCAACAAAGCATACAATTAAGATGATCCTGCAGTAATTATAAGACCTTCATCATTGATACGGGCAGTCATCAACTATCAAGCTTTTAACTCAAGGTCCTCAGCTGGGCTTTAAATGTCCAAGGTGTAAAATTTAATAAACATCACGTGTATGTGAGGACCTTGTGTGAATGGATTTACATAATTCAAGTTATTTTCTTCCATTTAATAAATTCTTCTCTTCACAAGCGCTCATTTAGTCATAAAAATTATAATACTAATTTACTAAATAACTCGTACTAGTTTGTCGACTACGTTTTCCCTTCTCATTTGTCACCACAACATAGGTTTATTTCCCTCCTCGTCTGTCCTCTTATTACTGCCTTTAATCCTACCAAACGTAACAAAAACATTAACTAATAAATTCTAAATGCTAATATTACCTTTATTCTTGGGCATATTCCTTTGTGACTGATGAACTAGGTAGAAATGTGGGAGTAAAATTCACCAGCGTAGACACAACAGAACAGCCACTACTGCACAGGGATGGTGGCAGGCAACCAATTGACGACTTTTGTTATACATAAGTTTTTATTAGCTATTTAATATTAAAATATATAAATTACTTTCTATAATTTAACTGAAAACTAATAATATTTATATAGTTATTAAGATAAATGTTTTATGTATTTTTTTGGCTCTCATTTACATGTAACTTGTGTAGCTCAGTTGATTTAATGTAATATATATTTTTTATTTTGTTATTTCATGCGATTTAAGAAATATTCCTTGTTCGAATTAATATCGTAAATAATTAGAGTATTTTGATCGTATTTAATTCGATTTATGATTTAAATGAATAGGTATTCACTTATTTAAATACCTGAACATCACAGTAAATTTCTCTATATTCTTCCAATAAATTAGAAAAAACAATAATGACATGGTTGATACTATAATAAATGAAAAAATATATATTAAGAATTGATTTCTAGTTGCATATTTAGATGATACGTGTTAAAGGAGAGGAATTATATTTTGGGGTTATTAATTGGATTAACCAAGGAATCTGTTACTATAAGAGGATGGAACACTCGATGGTATGTTAAATTATATTTGTTTAACGCGACGGTGGCGTCGCCATGCGGCCGCTGTGTATAAAACACATTTAGCCCAGTGTGCCTTACAGGTATTGTATGTAATACCAGATTATTCAATAAAGACAATTTATTATGGTCAGTAGCTTTTTGACATCTAACTTTAGATATATAGTGATAATTTCTCAAAGGAACACATTGATTATTTTACAGTAAAAGATATATTATTTGCCTATTTAAGGGAATATTTTCGACTCGATTCTTCCTTAAAAGCGATGGTGGTAGCTACAACTTTATGTAAGTTAAACACAATCTAATATGAACAAAAATATCGCAGACAGTTAACCAATGAACTTTATTGTACTTTTTAGGCAGGCGACAATTTTAGTACTTGTACAAAGAACATCGCGGTATTTACAAGGGTAACAGAGTTGGTAGTAACACAACTTTTCACATTTCATTTCGCGCTCACTATCTTATTGGAGACCAACGTTTTTTGAAGTGCAGTAAAGCTTCAGAATTACATTGTAGTGGATTCCTCCCCTACAAACGCTGTTTGTCGCTGAGTAGCCGACCCCGCGAATTCCCCAGTGTATGCCTCGTGGTCTAGGTCAACCAGCGCCGCCTTACATGATGGAGGTCAACTATGAAGCCACGCCTACCACCGCTATATAAGACCTGACTTCGTGGTGACCTACCTCTTCTTCTAGCTACAGGCGCAGCAAGTAACACCACCTCCTCCGCTCCTGCCTGGCGGTCCTCGCTCCCACAGGCGAGCATGGCGACCCACAAGCTGGTCCTCCTCTGAGCATCCCCACCAACCAGCTCTCCCTACTCACGCTTGTAACCACGCTGCCTCCTTCCAGCACCAACCACCAAGCTGCATTGTACATCCAATATATTATGTATACAGAGAGCACATTGTGAGTTTCCTTTCTCCATCCCATCCTCACTGTGAACCAATAACCCTCACCCCACAGCATAATTACCAATGTATTGTTGGAAATTTAAGACTAGGTTTTAAGATTAAGCTCCTACAGTGGAAAAATATTAAAGATCAGGCTGCATTATTCCTAATAATAATAATAATAATACAAATAATATTAATATTTATTCAGTGAAAGAGTCATGTATACGAGTTATGCAGGTATACAATTCAGTAACCTACTGACTACATATGAATTGGTTTTTTTATTGAATAAGCCACAATGGGTTTAATGTGTTTATACTTAGCGGCCGCTTGATGGCGCCACCTTATGGGGTGAACGCGTTCGCCCACTGGAGTATTCCATCCTCATATGGTAAGAGACTCCTTGGAGGACACATTCCTTACGAGGTAAAGTTAGACATAAACAAGCCGTGGTGACGTGTGGTGCAGGTGCCCGACTCCCTGGAGTTGGTGAGTGAAAATTAAAGTTTGTCATATTAAATAATCTTGTAATTACATTCATTTTGACATTAATGTATTTTCCAACGTAAGTAAAGTCTCATGACATGTGAAATATTTTTTAAAGGTTATTGTTATATTAGTTGGTGTTTACCTAGTCGATTTAATTAAAATTTAAAGGACTGGTAAAGGATTTAAAGTGCGATAAAAGAATAACGCCTCACTTAATTTTGCAGTGCGTATTGTATACACTTTATGCACGATACATGTACTCTAACTCTTTAATTTATTATATAATTCAATGTACAAAAAAGTTAACGTACGAGATATATATATTTATATATATCACTGATTCACAAATACAGGCGTGGGACGATTATATATTTTACGTTACTTTACGCCCTTCATCATGTTGTATTCCTACTGAGTACAGTATGTTGTAGGTACAGTACTATACTGTATATCTCATAAATACATATTGTGTGTTCACTCATTTACTTTTAGTTTTATCTCTCATAGCTTGTATCTTTCTTGCTGGCTTGACTCGACCCTAATATGTAATTCCTCATCCATTTCTCTCTGCCCTCTTCTCTCACCCTACCAATTCTATGTAACTTAAAGTTTGTAATTTCATTATTTTTCCCCATTTCTCTCATTCTCTTGCTTTCCCTTATTTCTCTCCACCTTTCTTTCTCTCTCTTTATAAAAATCTGTCATCTTTATGCTCGCCAAATGATTTTATATGCCTAATTCCTCTCCCCAAATATCTGTCCTTCATACCCTGGTCAGGAGAGGACTGGAATTTTGTTTAATATACAAAGGAACATGAGGTTTTCTTATCACAGTAAAAACCTCTAAATCCAGACTCATTCTATCCAGATTTCTGCTTTATCCGGACTAATATCTGTTAATGCATATTGAGTCCGAATTAACACAAAATAATCTGGATCTACCCACATGGTGGCAAAAATAAATAAACACTTTTGAATAACTTGAATCACTAACCTACAGTATAATATATATAATTCTTGCTTGTCCTTCAAGTTTAACTCCTTTTTGGCCCTCGTCTGAGTTCCTTTTAAAGTTGTCTTGCCTTTGGAACCCATGGTAATTAGTCCACCAAGTCCCAAGTCCCAAACAGTCTACAGAATTTTTCTCAGTTAATCCAGAATTTTTCCGGATTAAATGAACTCCCTCCGGAAGACACTTTTTCTGGAAATTCACTTAATATGGGTTTGGATTCCCCCCGATTAGTCTGGATTAAAAGGGTTTTACTGTAGTTGTTTGTGCTGTTGTCCAGGCACTTCTACTGCCAGGATACATTTAGCTTATAAACTGTTATTCTCTATAATAAGTGAGGTTTGATAATTCTGAATAATTTTACTATTTTTTTACTTATATTTATGATTTACCTGCTCTTTTATATTATTGGGTAAAAATTCATACATGCATACCTAGTATATAGAAATGTTCTGAGGATAACACATGTAGTACAGTACAGGGCACAGTACTTAGTTACAGTAGTCAACAAATAATTTATTTGTTTTACTTTTTTCTACAGAATTCAGACAAGAAAAGGCAATTTGTTGTGACTGTTAATGGCCAGACTATAGGATAAAATAATGGACACACTAAGATTTGCTGGGGATGCCGATGACGACCTTTATTCTGGATTTAACACAGTTCACCCAGCCCTTGATACTCGACACTTAGAAGCTGATCAAGGTTTTCAAGAAGCGGTGCGCACGAGCTATGGACGACGTCCTCCGGTAAGTGATCAGTGTTTGCATGTTTTATTAAGGTCTTGGAAATATAATATAATCATTCGTAAAAGAAAAAATATATAATTTTAACTTTATACTGTACCTCATGAAAAAGAAGATGCTGAAGACAGAGAACTTATAAAGTACAGTACAGTATAGTACTGTACAGTTTATACTGTATTACAATCTCTTTTGTATTGGTCTTAAGGCCTTTGAATGTAACTTGAGACCTGTAAGTACTGTACTGTAATGTATAATACAGCACTGACATTCTACTGATGTTATAGACTCAGAGCCGTGCTCCAGCAACTGCTGCCCGTCTTACATCTGGTGCTGTTCCTCGGCTGGGCACTCAGGGTGCGGGAGTAAGTAATGCAGTCACCCAGTACCTGTATCTTTTACTAATTTTAGTTATAGCCCCTTCTTCTCCTGGTAAGTTTCTCTATCTTTGGTACTACTCTTCAGTCCAGGGCCCTCCTTTATAAACATGACCACTCTCATACCTTACCACATAGAAAAAATAAAAAAGAGGGGGTAACCCTGACCCAATATTAACTTCCTCTTTGAAGGTGTATAAATGATATAAATAAACCTGTAAAACAATAGTTTCTAAATTTTATGTCAGTTGTAATAAAATTTAATCCCTTGTGTTTCATAATGTCTGGAAACCATTAACCGGCAAAAAGTTTTATGAAAGACAAAAACTCTGTGGATCATGAAATAGCTTGAGATGGGTTGAAACTTTTGATATTTTCATTAACTTTACATCTACATTCATAAAGTAAGGACTCTGTTATTCCAAACTATATGCAAGCATATTTAAGTGAAGATAAGTTAAGTGTACAGTACTTTTATTTTTTCAGGATCTTGCAGAACATTCATTGTTACATATAAGATTTGTTCCTTTTTGTCATTTTTTATGCTTTCAGGTACCCCTACATAGCTCCCTGGGCCTGGTAGGTGGTAGTGGCTCCAGTGATGGATTGCGAAGGCCCATGACAAGCATGAGAGGGACTGGCTACACCTCACATGGCAGTGTATTTGATCCACTCCATCAGGCTAATAAGGGTCCTGCACCACCACTTATTTCAAAGACAGAAGAAAGGTAACTTACAAGGAGGGTTAAGCAACAAGGTCTTTTAAATTATACAAATTGGCTTCAATTCCATGAAGTAAATGTAGGCCTTAGTGCCCAGTGTGGGTGGCGGGCGTAATAATACCAACTACTGTAATGTAATCTATCTCTATTCTGAGGAAGAACCACTTCACTACTGGGATAACTTTACTTATAGTCACAACCTCTTAATAGATGTACAGTGAACCCTTGAAGATCTGGACTTAAAGGGGGGACCAGCGGACCACCTGTCCAGAAAAGCCGATTGTCCGAATTTTCCGGCGAATAATAAATGATATAAGAAACACCAAAAAATACAGTACTAATGTAGTAATAAACAAGTCACCATATATAAACCAAGCATTTACCTGTGATAACATAATAAGAAACATTTTATCATTACTAGATTGAATGAAATAATATTCCCACAAAGAACAAATGTCAAATCTGTTTATGTTTCCCACCTCCTCGGGCACCTGTGTCCAAGCAACTGATGGGTCAAGCAGCACCCACGGGGTTAAAATGTTCTTTGCTCTGGTTTGGGAATGCTTCTTAGGGATACTTCTAGGAGGCTTCTTAGCCCAGAACTCCCAAATTTTTTGTCCGGATCTTCCGAAATCCGGATTTCCAGGGTCCGGATCTTCGAGGGTTTACTGTAATTTCATTTATATACCGAGATTTGAGAAGTGTTTTTGCTCTATTGTCAATATAGTAATTAAAGGTCAACTTAGGTGTCCGTTTGTCTGACTTCCTTTGCTCCCTTGGTTATTGAGTGTTGTTTTCACCAGCTCTACCTATCTATAGAAGCAAAATTGCCTCCCCTGAGTTGAAAGTTCCAAGGATTACTACTGTCTGGATGATAAACTAAAAGTAGGAGTTGCTGCTGTATGTAACAAACTTGTGGGATTTAAACAGAGTGACAGTTTTTCTTTATAAGTTTATGACTTTTATCAGCCTTTCCAGCCATACTGAAGTGTGCTGATATGACAACTTTGATATTTCACACCATTCAGTCCTGAGGAAAAGATAAAGTCTTTGGAGCGTCGTGTGATGGGGCTAATTGAAGAATCATGTATGGCAGCCTCACGAAATGAAATAGGTCTGGCACTAGACCGAGCGAAGGAGGCGTCCAGCAAAGAGCGTTCCCTAATTCGGCAACGTGAACAAGCAGGGTTATCAGATGGACATAATTTGGACCTTACATTTTCTGTAGGTATTGGCAAGCTTTTGGATTTAATCCCATGGTTCTCAGCTTGTAATAGAATATAGTACAGTATTCAGAACCTTTTTGATTGAGGGTAGATACTAGAAGTCATCAATAGCATAATACTCTTGTGTTAGTGCTACTTGAAATTTGTAAATTCACTCCTGTCTGCTGTTTTAGCTCTTGATATTCAGGAATATCTTACTAAAATATGTTTTGTATTGGTAGGTTCTGTTTAACCTGGCAAACCAGTATGCTGCCAATGATATGTACACAGAAGCTCTGAATACTTATCAAGTCATCACTAAGGACCGTATGTTTAATAATTCTGGAAGGCTCAGAGTGAACATGGGAAATATTCACTACAAGATGGGTCAGTACAACAAGGCCATCAAGTTTTACCGCATGGCACTAGACCAGGTGCCAAATACCCACAAGAGTATGAGGTTTGTATTATTAGAATTCTCCTTCTGTACAAGTACAGTACTAAATTGTGTAACTTAAGGATACTGTATATCCTTACATTTAACCTTAAATATGATGAATTAATTGCTTCTGTGGGATGTAAGTGACTGTCATGCTGTTACAGTGAACACAGTTCTATATTCTATACTGTACACTACAGTGGAAACTGAATAATTTACAAGAGGTGTATTCAAATGTGGCTTTTAAACAGACCATCACATCTAGAGGATTCGAGAGTTAGTAACATTTATTTGGTGCTCTCGGCCACAATATGCACAACTGACTGCTGAGTGATATTGTTACTCCCACTAGGTACTTTTGGCCATGATTTGGATAGTCATGGTGTACTATGACTTGCACAGCATAATTGACTTTTAAATATTCTAAATACAGGATATCTTTAATTGTTTCAAAAGTCATTAATTAATGTTAATTACTTGATTTTTTAAATTATGAAGCCAGATCTTTAATCAGTAGGGTACAGTATGTCAATTAGTATCTTTGTATGAAATTTGAACTAAATCCATTTTTTGATCCCATGTGCCCAAAAAACAAGGTACAGTGATATCTCTGTTAGCCAGAACAATTGGTGCAGAGCACTTCTGGGAATGAGAGATTTCCGGGTAATGAAACGACTCTCTCAAAGCCGGAAAAAATCCCTCATTCCCGGAATTTTCTGAAATTCTCCGGGTAACGGAAAAATGTTCTTGGAAGTTCCAGAAATTGCCCATTACATCATCTATTGAACCCGGAAAAGTATCCCCCATCCCCAAAATTTTCCGGGTACTGGGAATTTTTTCTCGGAATTTTGGAAAATGTGCCCGATTTTCATCTCTCAAACCCGGAAAAACTCCACCATCCTCGGAATTTTCTGGGTATCGGGAAAATATTCTCAGAATTTTCCGGAAAATGTGTCCCTTAGAAAATCATTTCCAAAGTCGGAATCTTCCGGAAAATTCCAACTTTTGGAATGATTTTCCGAGAAAATTTCAATTCCAGCTATCGGAGAGTTCTGGGTTTGAGGGATTCCGGCTAACGGAGATATTACCGTACCTGTATTAGGTCAGGTGTATTTTCTATGTCAAATAATATTTTTTACAAAATTAAAACTAACGTTTATATATTAAAGATTTATTATATTTTTAGGAAATGTATTTAAAAGGGATTTAAAACTTGCAGGCACAAGGTAATTTACTTTTTCAGTATTCTAAATAGCTAACCCTGGGTATAAGGCTGGGGCACATGATCAGGGAACTATCATCTGGACATGATTCACACCCATTAAATCTCCCCTAATTGACAAACAGGGAACTCTATGATGATATAATTGTATTTTTTAAGGTTTTAAAAATCTTGGATGAGCTAAATTACCGACATTTATTTATATACAAACAAACACAAACTAGGAAACATGCTCTTATCCTGTACAAGCAAAAACCTAAAGTCAATCAATGCAAGATATTGTAATCCTGCACATGTTAAGCTATAGATCCTTAGAACAACCTTTCATCCTGTCGAAAGGTTTTGTTGCTCACATGAAGGTGGTAAACCAGGAGACAGGAAATACATTGCATTGATAATTAATACAAACTGAGGGTTCTTATTGGTTCTTTACCCCTTAACTTACCTCACACAAAAGTGGGAGAGGAGTAAGGATAACAGATAGGATTTTCTTGAGGATGAATTTGATATCCTTTTTTTTTCAGGATAAAGATAATGCACAATATAGGTTTGGTTTTTGTGCGTATGGGCCAGTACTCCGAGGCTTGCACGAGCTTCGAGTATATAATGCAAGAGGAGGCAAATTTCAAGACAGGTTTGGACTTGGTCACAGCTTATTATGCCCTTGGAGATAAGGAAAGAATGAAAAAGGGATTCCTACGTTTGCTGGAGTGTCAACTTGATATTGATGATGATGAAAAATACACTGCATCATCAGTAAGTTTTCATCTTGTCATTTTGAAGAATGTGAATTTGCTTAATTCTTTTAAAAGTAGATATACTTCTTTGAGTCTTATTTTTAGTATAAAAAACAAAATTATCCATATGTAATCTTGATGCTCAGCATGACCACCAATGAGAAGATCCTCATTATCAACAGGTAATTCCCGCACCAGCTAATAAGCCAGATAATATTCCTTTTGTAAAGTTATCTATTAAAAAAAATCTCGCCAATATACGTACTGTGATATAGACCCACTGTACATGGAAATTAAACAGCCACTGTATTACATCTTTAAGATAATAAGATACTGTTCATTACAGTACAGTATTTATTATTGCACTAACCTTAAACATAACCCTCCTCATCACATCTTCCCTCCAGGATCATCTTGACTTCAGAGTCCATTAGTCTAATCTGAAAATAGGAAAACACATGACAGGATGAAGTATCTGAATAGAAGCTCTAAATATGTCAGATGATCCAAACAAAATGGTTAGGTGAAGGAAAAGGCAGGAAAATAAGCCATGTCCTTCAGGATAACAGTAGAAAACTAGGAAAACAATGGTTTATTATCTGACAGACAAAAAACCTAGCAGAGAATTTGACTCTGACCCTTCAGAACATATCCATATGTCCAGATCACAGTGTGATGCAGACGGAAAAGCAAAAGAAACTCCTGGTGAGCTCGAACAAGAAGAGAGAGGGTTAAAGGAACAACGGGGATGTAATTATTTATATTTGACAGGACCTTGGTGCTAGTCAGGTGAGGGTGCTTGGGTAAAGTGTTTTTTGAAGTGATGAAATGGTGTAAAACTGTTGGATGTATTTACAGATCCCCAAATTGTTGATAATTAAACCAAAGAAATAAAGTTAATAACCTTAATAGACAATACAACGCCACTCAACTCTGGCCACTTTCTTGTCATGGAGGACTTTAACTACAGTAACATCTTCTGGAGAAATGAAATTACACCAAATGACTTTTATTACTCTTGGAGTTTGAAATAATACAACATTATTTACATAAATAGTGAGTGGTGAATGATAGATTGTTTTTCCTTGGTAGACACTTTAAGTCACTATAGCAGTTACATTTGTTTTCAGGATGATACTCAGGCAAATCTTATACTAGAAGTGATTCGCAACGACCCTCTCCGAAAGATGGAACGTCAGATGAAGCAAGAAGCAGAGCGCTCCATCCTTACTGCTGCCAAGCTTATTTCCCCAGTGATTGAAAATTCCTTCAGTGATGGATACAATTGGTGAGCAGACACTACTGTAGTTAATTAATAAAAGAAGACGACAATTAACAAGCACTAATTGTTGACACAAGTACTGTTCTTGAAGTTGGGATATTTTTGTAGGGTCTTGTTCACTTTGTACAGTCCTTTGAAAATGTCATTTACCAATAATGTGCTATTTATAAAAGTATAATTTTGATAATGCATATTATTTATAAGATAACAGGTGTAATGTGATTATAGTATTTGCTCTGCTTCACAGGGTATGTATGAAATTTGGAAAACTTTGTGTATTGGGAATTTTTGAGGCTGATGCTGTTCTTTTCTTCTTATTCTTAATCTCTCAAGAGGCACTGTTTGTTATAAGACACCATAGTATCTGGTTGTGGCCTAGAGGAAGGAGCAAGATAAGTTTTGTGACTATGAGGTTTTTCAGATTGGTTGAGACTCCATTTGGGTTACTGTACTGCCACCCATGCTTCCCTTCACCATATTAGGAATCCTGTGTTGAAGCAAAAAGTGATCCCAGTTCTTATAATAATTGTGCTAAAGAATATACACTTGAATTACTATCAATTACATTACAGTGGGTAAATGTAGATGTTATGATACATTTGTAGCTATAGTAAGGCTTTAATGAAATTAAACTTTGTTCAACTGTTAAATATGCTGTGCTGGTGTAACTACACACGGACTGCTCTGTGTAGGTAGTGTAGAGGATATAGTGTTTATGATAGTTAGTTATTGTAGTAAATAGGAGTTAATATAGATGATTGTGTAGTGGATATGTAGTGTAGATTTAGTGTAGATTGTGTAGCAGATGTTGTGTAGTCACAAACATAAGCTTTGAGCTGTTCCCTCAAACCAAACCCAAACAATGATAGGTTTCCAACGTGTTGAATTTAAAGTACTATATTTCCTCTTTGTGGTCTCTACTCTTTCTATACTGTACTACCATATCTGATTAGAAATTCTTTGCCTCTATTATTGAATATGTATCGCCTTCTCAGTCCTTACATATGTTTTATATTTCACTATATCCTCTACACTTTCTAGTTCCACTTTGGTGTTCTGCTTCCAAAACAGTTCCCAAGAAATCCACCCGGCTTATATCAGACACTAACTTATTGAGATGTTTTACTTTTAGGTGTGTTGATGCAATTAAGAACTCACAGTATGTAGACTTGGCTAATGATCTGGAGATCAACAAGGCTGTCATGTATTTGAGACAAAAGAACTTTAAGGATGCAGTAGAAACTCTCAAGATGTTTGAGAAGAAGGAGACCAAAGTGGCCAGCACAGCAGCTACAAATCTCTCCTTCTTATATATCTTGGTACAGTAAAAAAAATGCCATATTTTATGATTTATTACGTAACTCTTGTTTCACTGAATAAAGCCATGAACACACGTATAGTTCTTCTCTTAAATAGATTTATTTTTCTTTCAGCAAATGCCAATTAATTATTTATGACCCAATTACATACAAAATTATCTTTTAGCCTTTTGGATGCAAAGTGTTAGTATAAGTGATAGATATACAATTTTATCACACACACACACTGCAAGAGTGTTTACAGTTGCCTGTAGACCCAACTGGTGTATTAGTACTCTGTGACACAACTCTAACTTCACAGTCTCTAGCTCAGCCTGGCATATAATAGCTCTTTTTATTTTTGATATGGGTGTTTTGCCAAAGGCTCATAACATATGATCTGAAATATAATTTTAGGAAAGCCAATTGGGGAATAAACTAGGTATCGTCCCTGGCTGTCTGGTGGGATTGTCAATTAACCCTAGTAGTTTGTCAGTTGATTGTGTTAGTCGAGTTTTGTAGTGTTCTCTTCTTCCCGAGTTTGCTACTTCTTGTTCTGGATAGTTCGTGGGCTTTAAGACAGAAACAGAAGGGGGAAGAATTGATAGTTTCCTGCCTATCTTTATCACCTTATGACAGGTGTTGCCCTTGATTATAATGAATAAATTCTGAAACCCTATTTTGTAGCTGACCTGGAAACAAGTCACTCGTATACCAAGTCTCTTCCCTTTGGATAAAATTGAAATCAGCTGCAAATTGAGGTCCTGCATGACAACCCCATTGTGACCAAAACAGTAGAAAGTTGAGCTGTGTTGGCTCATGATTCATTGCCTTCAAAGTGTACTTTTTGGAACCAACAGTTTTTATTACATTGATTTCTCAGTCACATCTGCTTCTTTTCCCACAGCAAAATGAAATAGACCTGGCTGATAAATATGCTCTCATGGCAAGAGATTCAAATGGATACAATGATTCTGCTTTGGTAAATTTGGGCAACTGCTGCTTCAAGCGAGAAGACTTTGAGAAGGCTCGAGAGCATTATGTAGCAGCTCTTGAGATAGATGCTTCATGTGTAGAGGCTCTCTATAATCTTGGTAAGTGACATAAAAACAGTAGAGCTAATAATAAGAATTATGGAATTGAGTTCATCTGCATTTGACTTTGTATAATTTTTTATTACTGATGGAAGGTTATTAGAATGTTGATGTTAAGATTAGAGGAGAGGAAGAGAGTCTATAGGTGAGAAAGTATAAATATAAATGGACTCAGAGAGATAAGTAAGAGTTAGCCTGTATGGGAAACAGTTCAGTGATGACCATGCAGGAGAATGGCTGATGATTTAATGGAATTATAGTTTCTGTGGTTGTGTTTTCTTCACAGGGCTGACAAATAAGAAGCTGGGTAATTATGAGGAAGCCTTAGAGTCACTGTTGAAGATGCATGCAATTGTACGGAACTACCCTGCAGTAGTTTATCAGATTGCCCATTTATACCAACTACTGTGTGATAATGACCAGGCATCAGAATGGTAAGCTTCATTGACTAGATGTAAAACACTGACTGACCAGAAACATTTAAATGACTGATACCATGAATAACCTTAACAAGAATGTATGCGAGAGATCAAAGACTAATTGAATTTAAGTTTTAATAAATATTTATCAACTTTAACTTACTTCTTTGTAGGTATTTACAGCTGCTTGGTTTAGTCCCAACTGATCCCCACATCCATCAACGTCTGGGACAAATCTTTGACTCTGAGGGAGACAAACAACAAGCTTATCAGTATTATTTTGATGTAAGTATGCTATTGACAGCTGTAACAAGGTGTGAATGGCAAGTTGCATAACAGAGAGCCGGTACATGACCATAGTACCAACAGTGTCTAACAGAGATGTGACTGTCCTCCCAAGCGGCTAACAGGCCGATAAGTGGTGAAGAGGATAAAATAAACGCAGTGGCTATTTTTCCGGTTCTCAATTAGGTAATTTTTTTTAGAATAACACCTGGAGGAGTTGATAGAATTGAATGAAATTTTGCAGGAAAATTAATTATAATCTATTATATAGATAAACTTAAACTAGAATTCATTGTGTCGCTGGTATGTTTTAAAAGGTTTTTATGGTAAGTTAGGTAGGTTACTTTAGGTTAGGTTTGGTTAGGTCAAGTTTTAATATGTTCTGTGTATTCTTGTTTCCATTTATCCATTTAATGGATTGTAAATAACAATTCGACAAAGTTTCGTCCAATTCTATCAACTCCTTCTGGTGTTATTGAAAAAAAAAGGCAAATATACGGCTGGGGACCATCAGCGATTCAGTATTTGTGAAGGTGTTCTTAGACACAGTTTTTTATGCTGAATACTTTCACTTCTATTCATTTCTTGTGTAAATGTTTAATTTTCTATATATAAACTAGTTAAGATATAGGTTAGATTAGGTTTTCTTAGTTTTTGGTTAGGTTACGGTATGTTAGCACAATATTTCAGCCAATTTTAGAATTTTCCCAACATAATACAGTATCCTGTAATAAAATTAATGAAAAGTGGGTATATTTAAACCCATTATTAATAAAAAAATAGCGGACGGTCATTATCCGAATAATTACCCCCCAAATTGAAAAATTGCGATAGCTTACAACTATATTAAAAAAAATAAAGCAGTGTGTCCATGTAATGTTCCGTTTTCTCTGATGGCAACACAGAAAATGGACATAAATAAACAATTTCATGAATGAGTTTAAACCTGGGACCTTTGAATGAGATTAAATGGATGAATTAAAGGAATTTGAATGAGTTTAAAGCTGTTACCGTAGTATTAAAGATACAATCTTTAATTAAATGGCTAATAATAACAATAACAATAATATTATGGGTCATCTGTGAGGGAAACAAACGCCACAGAAGAAAAGTGTCCTTGAATTGTTTGAAATGATTGATAAGATAAAAGTTTCGAGATTCGGTAAGCGATAATAATAATAGAGGTAATAATAATAATGGTAGTAATAATAATAATGGTAGTAATAATAGTAGTAGTAATAATAATAATAATAGTAATAATAATAATTATTATTATTACTGTATTATTATTATTATTATTATTATTATTATTATTATTGTTATTATTGTTATTATGTCTCTAATAATTACCACTTAGTTAATTCAGGACAGAGTTACTGTATACTGTATTAAGAAATTAACCTCTGGGGTATAAAATTTTATTAAAAAGTTCACATAATGGAACTCACATCAATTTTTGCAACATGAATTTTTTTTTATAGATTATTAGCATTTATATTTTATTTTTTTAAGAATAAATGGATTTCAGGATTATTAGGAACCGTAGTATATTGGTTTGGTTAGGTTAGATAAGGATCTGTTAGGTTAATAAGGGCATGTTAGGTTAGATAAGGTCTGGTTAGGTTAGGATAAGTTAGATTTGGTTACAATAAATTAGATTAAATTAGGGAAAGTTAAGATATGGTTAGGTTATGTTAGGTTCCACTCTTGTTTCACAAGTGATATCTTTCTATTTCATTATCATGCACATTTAATTAATTAGACAACATACATAATGTATGTATACACCTTCATTATATTTGTAAAATAGCAGTACTAAATGGAGGTAGAATGTTAGTCTGTGTAGATACTAATTTTACACACATGCCTGTTCTTTTTTTTTTTTTGCCCATAATCTTTGTTCATAATATGTGAATGATATTACAAGTTTTTACGTGAACTCTTTATTCCTTAATGTTCCCACAATGGACATTTATGGCAAGCCTGTACTTTTGGGGGAATTATGATATCATATGCAAGAAAGACAACTGGTGCCCGGGCCTGGCTGGCTGACTCGGGTAAGACCGTCATGGTGTCCACATCACCGAGGAACCGTGGAGTATACCCGGTGTTAGGTCATGATAGGGCTGTGACCACTTGTCATCAAAACTTATTACAGTGTGTATTATTATACTGTTAGTTAATATAACAATTTTCAGAAATACTTTGTATATTGTAATGTAACTTAACTAATTGTGGGTCCTTTTTTTTTTAATTTTTTGCTAACTAGTATGATATTTGGGAAACGACACAATTTGTCTTTGTACAATATAACACATAATTATAACCACTATATAATATTCGTTAATATTATTATTGATAAATGAAAATAAGACCAAAACAAATATACTGGACCGCTCTGACCTCGGTACCTTTGGGGATGATTTTTTTATATTTACGTCTACTGTCATGGAAATTATTGACAGATAAGTGTGCTTCAAAAATCTACTACAGCCTGTTCTTCTATATTAATCACATCACTTGCTAGATCTGTGGTGGAAATATAAGAAAAGATCCAGTGGTTGCTGAATAGTATAGGAAAAAAATAGCACAGTTAATGATATCTACAATGTCAATGATTTTGCTAAGGAGTCATTGTCCTGGTTTGAAATGTGGACACCGTGTCAACATTCCCAGAAGAGAACCTCATCTGATTCTGGTGTAACAATTTCAGATTACCATACACTACCCCCCTTTTTGATTATCTACAGGACAGTACTAGTAATTTGAACCTAGTTGCAAAGTACAGTACCGAGGGTATGTTCTAACTCGGCTCAATTCACCCACCTTGGGGGGTAATAAAAACATAGGTTCAAACTTCACCCCCTTTAGTTTCAGATTACCCCCCACATGTACTCATAGGAAAGCATGTTTTTGATGGTGGGCAGGGTAGTGGTGGGTTAGATAGGAGGTGGGCTGTAATTTCCTGTAATTTGGGGGATTTTAGTGATTATTAGGGTAATAATTTTGGTTTCTTGGAACTTAACCCCATTTTTAACATAAGTGCCACTGATTTACATTTTGTTATATTTACAGCACAACTAAAGACAATTCCTTTATCTTGCAGTCTTACCGCTACTTTCCAAGCAATCTTGAGGTCATAGATTGGCTGGGATCTTACTTCATTGAGCATCAAGTTGCAGAAAAAGCCATCAGTTACTTTGAACGTGCTGCTCTTATGCAACCAGATGAGGCAAAATGGCATCTGATGGTTGCTGCCTGTCACCGTCGATCTGGCAACTATCAACAAGCTTTGCAAACTTACAAGCAGATTAACAGAAGGTTCCCAGAAAATGTTGAATGTATGTTGGAGGAGGTTGCCATTATTAATTCTGTTTTGTCTTGATAAATGCCTAATAATGACTGTGTCTGGTCTAATGATGTACGTTGTCCTTGCTAATATAAACTAGCTTCTTTAAAATACAAGTTGTGATCTTGTGGGATAATACACCAGCTAATGTTCTGATCACACCAAATATGACTTCTTTTAAGTCCAGACAAGATCAGATTTAGTGTATATCCAGGCACTGTACCTTCAGGAGCCTGTGTATTCCAGTATCTGCTGACAGAGTCCAAGAAGGGAGCAACTGTCATGGTAGCTCTCAACCCAGAAAGGGATAAAGAGGATAAGTTCATTAAATAAGGCAAAGAAATTTTAAGGATGGAGAAATTTCAAACTATGTGAAATAAATCTTCTGTTTTCTCACTCAGGTCTAAAGTTACTCATTCGGCTGAGTAGTGATTTGGGACTCAAGGAAGCAACAGAATATGCCCAGGAGTTGAAAAAGGTAGAGAGAGTACAAGAGCAAAGAGAGAGCCGAGCGGCCAGTGGATCACGTCCTGGGTCCCGCAGGTTAGTGCAGTTCGTAGTTTCATGAATTGGTGATATGACAACATGTTAGTTTGATTTGGTCGCTGGAGTAGATAAGTAGATAATTTGTTTTGCTTTGGGATTTGCCTTTTACTGTACTGTAGAGTCTTATTGTAGTTGTTCACTTCAAATATCTTGTAATTCCTAAGACTAGACACTTGCAGTAAACCCTCACATACCCGTGTATGGTCTCAGTATCGGTGACTGAATGAATACAATATAGGACTTTTATTTAAACTGCTATACATGTTGCATTGATAATTCTAAACATGTAATAAAGGATTTTCTGTACTGTATTATTTTTCCTTAAAGAATGAAAGAAATTCAGGTAGCATATTAAGTCCCCATTTTTATATGAATCTTTTAGTTTGCATTGACATCAGACTGTTGCCATTACAGCACCTTTATAATACTTCTGCAGTAGTTATTTGTATATGTATTTGTTAACCTGAACTGAACCCTTCCACTTTGAGCACCCTTTACCCTGCACCCTTCAGATCCTCATCAAGGGCTTCACGTAGTGGGTCAGCTGCCTCAGGGCATGAGGAACCTGGGGCATTAACTCCAAAAAGCCCAGGCACAAGGTAGGATTACTGTGTGATATATAGTGCATGTGTGCCAGAAGTAGCTCCTCCATAACTAAGGTTCATCTCAAGTTTTGTGGGATATGCTGTACTGTATTACTATTCTCCTGCAGGTCATAAAACTGTATACTTTTTCAGCCTTTAACCTCTTGTTTACAACAGACGGAGACTGTGATAAATACCACACCCAGTAATGCGTTAGTACAGTACCTCAGTTAAAGGTATTGCTAAGCATCTCAGATACCTTGACTGTAAATTGATAATTTAATAAAGAATGTGAGTTTCTATTTGATTCTTATCTTACTGGTGAATTAAGATGAAATGCATTGAAAATTACTTGTGTTAATCTTCACTTGCCTCATTTTATTAAAGAAGGGGTTTTATGGTTTTATAGTAAGTACTGGACAAAATGCACATTATAGGTGTACCCTGTATAGATATTTAAGATATTACAACTAAATGATGAACTAATAAACCGTTTACACTTTTTTTCTGTTTGCAAATGCTACTTACTACAGTATACTGTACAGTATACGGGTAGTTAAAATTTGCTTTGCTTTTATAGTCTCAAATTTCAGTCTATATTCATACAGTAATTCCATTTACAGAATAACATATGTCGATTAGTTATTACATTATAGCCCATAAAAATTCCAGTAGTAATTTGATGGTTGTACCTGTAATTTAACAACTAAAACTGATATTCTGTCGGTAACTATGTCATTTATCCTGAAATGAGGAATTTATACTTTTGCAAATATTCCTCTTGAGGTTTTTTAAAGATGTATGTACAGTACATGAGACAGGAGGAAATTGGACATACAGTATATCATTATCTTATATCAGGTATGCCTTTGAATTCCCAGAAAAGATATACGGAAGTTCTGAAGAAAGAATATACTTTCACTTTATGATTCTAGATAGGCAGTACATCGTTATGTTTGGTATTGGAATAATCAAGGCAATGGAACTTACTAACAAATTTACTTTATCTGCAAATATGAATAATGTACAGTATATCCAATTTTTATCATCCTTCTTTTATAAGTGCAGATCATCATGAAAGTTTGTACTGTATACATATTTCAAAACACAAGCTCATAATATTAAGAGGCATGATTTAATTATATTACTTTAAATAAATAATGTTTTACAGGGCCAGCTCAAGAAGTGCCCGTAGTATACCAGGTTCAGCGCTGAGTGGAGGGAGGGCCACACGTCTGTCTCTCAATGACTTGGAAGAGAATGAACCTTACATGCCATCCAATAAAGAAGTTGGTCTGTATGCAGACATGGAGTTTATGAAAATGTCTTTGTAAATTATGTAGCTCAAGGGTAGAAGACTCGCTTCATATGTGAATGGTCAGGAGTCCAATTCCCAACCTTAGTGGAGGATTGAACACAAGCCCTAGTACATTCAGCAGTGAAAGGAGTTATGTACATTGTTGGGTGCACATAAAACAACCCTTTGATGAACTAGCAACCCACTACCTGCTGAAGGCTAGAAATCACACACATATTCCCACACCTTGGCACACACACACACACAGAGCAGAGCACTACCCATGCTTTTGTACTTTTTGGAAGCTCCCTTCACAAGATCATGCAATCATCTATGAAGCCAAAAAAATTAACCTGAATTATCTTGAAAACTTTTTTGGGGCAAATTTTTAAAGTTTAATGATGCAAATAGTGCTACCCAACAACTTGACACAATTTGCATCATAATGCTTGAGAAGGTTAAAAGGGCACCCACTTTGAAAGAGTTGTGTCTCCTCCCAGTTTTTCCATGTTTGTTAGAAAATTATGTGTGGGTATTGTATATAGGTAGGTGTACTAAAATTGATATTTCTATTTGCAGACAGCAGTTATGTGGATCCTCTTGGTCCTTTACAAGAAAGACCAAAGACAAGCCTCAGGCGAAAGCAAGATGACGATGACTTTGCTGATGAAGAACTTGGTGATGACTTGCTGCCAGAGTAACTTACTAGCAAAACTATATAGCGATTCAATATCTAACAAGTTTATTTATATCCCAATCTTACTGTATTTACACCAAAGAAATAATAATGAAGGCCTTAACTTGTGAATGATTTGGCCAGAAAACTGTAACAAAACAAATGAAAAGGCCTTATTGAATATTTACCTGTAATTATAACTTTAATGGTTCCATGACTCAATTGATAGCACTTAGGTCTCCCAACCCATGAGATGTGGATTCACTTCCTGGGTAAGTGGGGCAAGTGGGCCACTATTATTCTGTGGTGTGTGTTGAACTGGCTACCAGCCATGTTTATGCCCTAGGGTGTGGTACCTCTTTGTATATGGTGGCTGTCACTTCCACAAACTGTGGGAAACTTAAACAACTGTCCCAACCAAGCAAGTTAGTTAATGAGAGCCCTGTATGCGTTGTTTAGTTGGCAGTGGCCATATCCGGTGATTCAACTTACTGTGTTGTTTATTAGTATGAATTGTAATTTTTGAGGAAACATATGCTGTATGACATTGTAGGCTTGAACCTTTGTTAATTATATTTAAGGAGAAGTAAAAGTTTTTTGAATGATTAGAAAGACTTGCAACTAATTCTGACCAATTTTGAAACCAATCTTTTAAAACTGTCACCACATACCATCAGGATAACTGTCACATACCTTTAGTTGTATGTGTACCACCAGTTGAGGCACTCTAAACATCTGCTAGAGACATAATGTACATGAACACCCACCAAAACAAGTACTGTCTCTCCTCTTTCTCACATCTATGAACCCTGTGAATCATGTCTCTGTGAATCCAAAAACAGCACACCTAATGGAACTGTGTGTGTTGTTTTGGATTCACATAGACATGATTCATGGATGGGAGAGAGGACTGATATGGTTCTTTTTAATGGGTGTACTTGATAATTTATAGGTAGGTACATAATACACAGTGCTGTACAACATAAGGAGTGAAATGTTCTAATATCAGCTAATCAACTTCATGAAATGGAAAACAGTGTACAGAACTGTACTGTACATTGTTTACTCTTCCCAGTAAATATGCATATCCTGTACAGTAGTGGAACTGTGGATGGTAACCAATTAGTCATAATACTCACATTCCTAGTCATGATTCATATTCTTTTAAATTAAATATGCCAAATGGCAGGCTTTACATCTGTATTGTACTTAGTAAAAACAAAAAAATGTGCAGGCATAACTCCCCACCACCAATGACTATAAATACATGTACAGTCAACCCTCGCTTTACGCTGTCCCACTTTACGCGTTTCCACGTTTACGCGGTACCCTGCCGAAACCGGAATGCTCACTTTCCGCGGTGTGTGTACCCTTTTACGCGGAGAGCGGCGCGAGCAGGGTGCGCACAAGGTCGCCCAGTCATCAAAACATTACCGAGTTCTTCACCCGCCACAGCCGGCCCAAGTCAGTGATAATGATAGTGAGGATATGGACTTATATGGACTTTGAAGGGTTTGACAAAGAGGCCCTGCAAGCCTCTGTGGTGGATAGTGATACAATTGATACAAGTGATACAGGTGAGGGCCAATAATCTGCCCTCTGCCTCGGAACCAACCCCCCATCCCCATGTGCCCAGCCATCTTTTCTACTAATGTAAGTGTTAAAAAACCTAATATTATTGATATTTCTCTTAATTATTAATTGTGTGTGCATACCATCATAAAATTAAGACGTTAATTTTACTACAACGTAGGTATTGTGTCTGAAAAAGTGGAGTTTGGGGGTCGACCCGGTGTCTATTTCAATTAATCCCATATGTTATGTTTTTCACTTTACGCGTTTCTCACTTTACGAGGGCCGCCGTGGGTTCAATTGACCGCGTAAAGTGAGGGTTCACTGTATTGGATGACTGGTACTACATTCATGTAGCTTAAGAAAGTGATGTCATGGATAATGATAATTTCCATTATGTCTTTATTGGGTAATACTGCTTCTACATTGGCTGAGTGTAGTACTGTGGTAGAAAATTAATTGATTGATTGTGGTAAATACATCCCTGGTGATGCAACTGTGATATAAAATAATTATGGCTCAGTGGCTAGCACTATTATATCACCTTGAAAAAGACTGATAAAGAGTTGTGTGATATGGTGTGAATTTGACCATATTGAATTACAAATATTCTCCGTTTTCCTGTTTGTTTGCCAAAGTTAATACAATTTCAGTTACTGAAACAATCTACAGTACAGTGCTATTTTCTTGGCATTTGTATATATAGTCTCAATGGCACTTATTGTGTGTTCTGACCTTTAACTTGCAGATTGGTGAAATTTATGAAGATGTCTTTGTCAGGATAAAGGATGATTGTAATTGAATCTTGCAGTCAGGTGATATGTAGGTACAAGTATAGCAGTTGAGTTTCGTCTGCAACATGTCATCAAACCTACATGGACTAAGGTGTACCTCATGATTTACTGTATCTGCTGAAATGGTGTAGTGGCATGAAATTTTAGATGTAATGAAGATTCAGTTTATATGAGATTGTATTTGTACACCAAGAATATGTACTCAATAGTACTTAAAATATTTATCACAGTATGTTCATTTAGAGTACTTTTAATTATCATTTGATTACTTATCAGCTTATCTATTCAGGCAGTTGGTCTGGTCATTGTTACTTTCTTATGACCTTCATTGGCCAATGTTAGTACTACAGTAGAGGAAACCTGCGATGTTTGATAGGATCATAGTGAATAATATCCTTCTCAAATCTGTCTCAGGACAAGGATTGGACCCATGACATTGTTGTGAGAGGTACACTCTTTACCAACACCCCAAACAATTAGCCGTCCTGTTCCTGGTGCTAGTTTAAGCTAAATAATGATCCGTCCACATTGCCTTTGCATCACAGCAATCTGAGTGCACCATGCATATTTGTGCTAGGAAAGTGTTTGTCAGCACTTCAAACATTTGTAATTGGTGTGTTCTGTGTACCACACCTGGTAATCAAGAAACATCTATATTACTACTGGTATAAACTGTGATGCATGTGATGATTATTGTTTAGTGTGCATAGAAGTTGTGATTTTATTTGTAATAATATTCCATGATATTTCCAGCTCAGCTACAGTGTTTTCCTTGTCTCATAATAATGCTTCTGACAGTTCAAAACATCGTGCTTCAAACATTTCTAGTTCTTGAATAGACACTTTAGTGAATAGATTTTATGAGAGAAAACTTATCTACTGTACGGTCTTAGTATTTAGATGGTATAATAAGATTTTCCTCGGGATGAATTGAGAATACTGAATTTAGAACCTGTACTGTGTATTTAGTTAAGGAATATTTGTAGATAATTCTAGTCATTAGTTTAGTTAATTATGTATAAACACGTGGTTGTAGCAGTGAGTTTGGTAGATAAAGCAATTATTTATTTTTTCAGTCATTCTTAAATAATGATCATACTATTTTTGGAAACCACTTTCTATGTGGCAGCAATAATGGTGCGAGATGTTTGAGGTACCTTAGAACACTTATGACATTTTTCTATTGTATGAGTTTCCATATACCGGTAATCAAATGATGAAAATTCACTGGATAATTTTTATATATGATGTGAAAATGTACATTACACTTACAATATTATTTCATTAAATCCTAAAAGTTTGGATAAAACTTTTAGTTAAATCCTCAACAAAACTATTTACTGCATTGTAGTGTAGCAGTTACAGATGGCTAGAGTGAAAAATGTAATGGTTTGATCCTGAAATTCTGCTTCCAAGATGAGATCAGGTGGAGGACATTATGTCAAGTAATCCAGCTCAATATCCCAAGTATAAGTTAAAGAGGGTTAGTACTCAATCTAATCAGAATATTCATACCTTAGGACATTAGTACAGGTAATTAGTACATTGCTATGTAAGCCGTGTCAGTCCCTTCAATTGTTTGTTTTTAGTTACAAGTTGGCAATCTTCCTTTGGGATAGATGAAAGGAAACTGGCTTATGTGTGGAGACTTGTAATGGTGAGGCCTAGCAGTATGTTCAGTACAGTATGTCTTTGTAAGGTGACAAGTGTGTTTACCACAAATATTCACACTGTATATATATATATATATATATATATATATATACACACAGTATATATATATCTGTGTGTGTGTGTGTCAATACTGTTGACAATTTGAATTGTAAATTGCTCACAGTTGATATGAAACTTCGAAGTTCCCAGACTGCAGATGGTTGTAATCTCATGGTGGGAAAGAGCCTGAGTTAAAGGAGTTTATGGGAAAAACTAAGACGCATGGTTATTCCTCAAGTGTAAAATATATTGCAAGTATTGATTTGCAAAAATACTATATAACGTAATAGAGTGACTTTGTATCCTTTAATTGTGTATTATGAGTCTTATTTAGTAAACTTACTTCAGACACAAATTACATAACCCTTATGTAAAGAGTAATCGATAGTAGGAGAAAATATTAGTGAAGCCATTATCAAGTTAAAATTATCATGATATTACTGTATTGAGGCTTGTAAAGATATATTGAAGAGTATATCGCTTGTTTTGTGACTGAAAAACGTTAGGTGAAGCGGAGGAGTCTGAGAACAACCTCATATGTAGAGGGGTACAGGGCACTAGCAGTACTAAGGCAACAGGCAGGTTCTAGGCTCATGGGAAGAAGTTCAAGAGTGTAGAATTTAGAGGAAAAAAGTGTATAAAGAGGTGGTTAAGTGTGTTGGAGAGATCAAAAACTAGAAACTATAACCGGTATTGGAGCCCGTGTGAGGAAGGACACGTAATACTGTATGAGAAACAAAATACTCAACACTGCTTATCTCATGTTGTTGACTATTTTTTATGGTCTTAATACCCTAACTTCACCCGAGACCACGCCCCCTCCCCTCACACACACTAAATATGGATAATTGAAAAGCAGTGATAAGTTCTGCACATGTTTCTTTTTTTCCAAAATTCATAGCAGCTTATTGAGCATAATTAAATGCAGTTTATAAATAAACAGCACAATGAAGACACGTAACCTCTTTACTTAATCTAACAAGACAAAGATGGATTATCATCCAGGTTCCCAATTAATCCTGGGTAGACAGAGGTAAATGGAGTAAAGTAACTTGCCAATAGTTAAGTTAGGTTTGGCTAGGTTAGGTTAGGTATGCATTAGGGTATTAATGTTCAAGTGAAATAATTTGGAATCCCTGACCTTCATGAGATCCAAATAAGGTAGTAAACTTCTTAGAATGCCAAATGTTACCATATTGTTAGAAGTTGTCACTACATTAAATGGTCCTACACAGTAGTGTCAAAGTGTCAGGAGTGAACATTCTGTATGAACATAACTATGACTGGTCAAATACAGTATGTAACGTGATGCCAGACTAAACCACAACGCTGACGGCTTCTGTAACATCACTAAATAAGCAGATATTAAATTAGCCAAGTAAGGTAATAAATAATAAAACAAAGAAAAAGGATAACAACAACATGAACCAAGACAGCCTGACTTAAGGTCAAGAGTGATTGACACAGCCAGTCACGATGAAAGGTGGCGGGAGGTGCAGCAGGTGGGCAACAGTAGCAGGTGTGCAGGTCCCCACGGACTATACCTGTATATATACTCTCTGTAACACCATCCCAACTCACACTCGAGTAGCACCCCTGGTCTTATAAGGTAAGTATCTTCCGCAAACCTTGTGATTAGCAAGTTGTGACTAAAAGAGTTGCAACAGTGTTTCACTCATTATTAAAAAGGTCTTTACTACAGGGTAAGTCAGGTAATGTGTTGAAATATTTACTTGCATCGAAAAAGAAAATTTATAGTATGGACTGACAAAAATAAGACACTTATGAATAGGACTAATGAGTTAACAAAGGTTTAACATACAGTACATCATACAAGGGTTATCTCTTCATTTTTGCCCCAGATGAAGGTCGTAGCATTGTTCCTCTTCGGCTTGGCCTTGGCCGCCGCCAACCCCTCCTGGGAAGAATTCAAGGTAAGGTCACCGTGAATGTCAGTATTTCTTGGTCATATAAGTCATGTGTTACTTGGTTGGTGTGACTAAAATATCATGATCATACTGAGGTGGATATACTGATTTTACTGTTAACTACCAAGTATGAGAAACACCAGTGAATGTTGTGAAAGCAACGAGTGTGAGCATTTTCACGACCAGACTTGACCAACACTGGCGAAGGTTATAGTACAGATATATTCTGGAAACAGTACCAGTACTTGTCGTCTCTCAGCAGCAGAGACGTGACCAATCGCCCAAACGCCTAAAGAGGCGATCAGTGGGGTAGAGAATAATGTAAAGTAAAATTAAGATAGCATCACAACTTATAACAATTAACGTGGAAAATATATTCGAAGTTGCTCTTTAAGGAGTACATGATATAAAATGGTTCATTCTAAATAACAATGTTATTTTGTGTTGGGAGTAAGAAGCTCCATATAACTTTCACACCTCTGTCATCTGGTGTTGTTGCCAACTTGTGTAGTATGGCAGGCCGTTGGTGGATGTGGTGTAGTACATGTGTGTGTTGGCTCCCACAGGGTAAGTTTGGCAGGAAGTACGTGGATTTAGAGGAGGAGCGCTACCGCCTCAACGTCTTCTTGGATAACCTTCAGTACATCGAGGAGTTCAACAAGAAGTATGAGAGGGGCGAGGTCACCTACAACCTGGCTATCAACCAGTTCAGTGACATGGTGAGTTGAAAACATTATATATTTACAACTTCATAAACTTGTCATGTATAATAACCTACAAAACGGTCCATATCAGATGAGTCTTGAAGAGAAAATAAGTAATCTACATTTCATACTCATAAGACGTTTCCTAACTTCTCAATTCTTTCGAGAGATTTTCGATTAACAAGCCGTAACATTCTTGTGGGGTTGCAGACCAATGAGGAATTCAATGCTGTGATGAAGGGGTACAAGAAGGGCCCTCGGCCAGCAGCCGTGTTCACCTCTACTGACGCAGCCCCTGAGTCTACGGAAGTGGATTGGCGCACCCAGGGTGCCGTAACCCCTGTCAAGGACCAGGGACAGTGTGGCTCCTGCTGGGCTTTCTCTACGGTAAGTGTTCGGGCTGCACTAGGTATGTGCTGTAATTGGTGTGAATGGGATAGGTTGTTGTTCTATGAATCAAGATCCAATATAGTTTCTTTTTGATGTTCATCCCTCCTCCTCCTCCTTCCGTGTCACAGACCGGCGGCATTGAGGGTCAGCACTTCCTCAAGACAGGCAGCCTGGTTAGCCTCTCTGAGCAGCAGCTCGTCGACTGCGCTGGCGGCAGTTACTATAACCAGGGATGTAATGGTGGCTGGGTGGAACGAGCCATTATGTACGTGAGGGACAATGGTGGCGTTGACACAGAGTCTTCCTACCCTTACGAAGCTAGGGTAAGTTAGTGAGGCACAACTGATGCCCTGGCTATGATGTATCTATCATATAGTGTAAAAGTAAAACTTTTTAGCTTTGTGGGAAGTTTCTTTTATTTATCGCTTAAAATACAAGTAATTTTAATGAATTCGCTCTGTATTTCAAGAGGGAATATCGTTAATATTCTTTTGTGTCTCCTGTCAGGATAACACCTGCCGCTTCAACTCAAACTCCATCGGAGCCACATGCACTGGCTATGTGGGCATCGCCCAGGGCAGCGAGAGCGCTCTGAAGACAGCCACCAGGGAAATCGGTCCCATCTCTGTTGCCATCGATGCCTCCCACAGGAGCTTCCAGTCCTACTACACCGGTGAGTACTACCATACTGCACACATAATTTCACCCATCGATAGTACATATACAAATGGAAATTCAATCATTTATATTAGCAAAAATATGTTTTTTTCTACTTTAAAAGCACACACAAAGATGGTATACAGTTTTGTAATACGATAAAATTGTCAAAGTATTATATATTTTACCGATATACAGTATATTTAGAACAGTCAGTTCTCATTTTCAAAATTTCACCTGACGACTAACTTAAAGGTCTGTGAGACACGAGGGATGTTAGTCTAATACTTAGTCATCTGCGATTTTATACAATAAATATAATTTTGATAAAGAGACACTTAACTTTCTTGACTGAGGTTTTAGTTTTAGTAAGAAAATGTTACTACGGGCATTGTTCCCTTTACTATATTCACCAACATCAACTCACTCAGTAAGTCAACATATATACCATCCTGTACGATGTTACACAGTAAATCTCGCCAACTATGACACAACCCTCGCTTGAGAAGACAATATGCTCTTCATGGTTAACACTATTTGGTGTTACTAGAGAGGCCACATCGAGGAAATATGTTTTATGGTTCTGCCATGATAAACACAACACATATTCCGTTATCACTTTAACTCTCACCACTTGACTACTGCTACACATGTTACAAGGTATTATTTATATCGCAGGTGTCTACTATGAGCCCTCTTGCTCATCATCCCAGCTTGACCACGCTGTTCTGGTAGTTGGCTACGGCTCGGAAGGCGGCCAAGACTTCTGGCTCGTCAAGAACTCTTGGGCCACCAGCTGGGGTGAGAGTGGGTACATCAAGATGGCTCGCAACAGGAACAACAACTGCGGTATCGCCACCGATGCTTGCTACCCAACCGTCTAGATGTCATGGCACTGCAGACCACTATACCAGAGCGAATGGTGGCTGCTGGAGCTGCTCCGTGACATGAGACGCCTAACATGAACAGTCTACAAGGACACCTATTACATCTTATTGGTGTTAATGTATTGAGATGCAGTAATACAGTATTGATACACTCAAACAATAAAGACTGTTCACAGAATTTTCTATTATCATTCCCCATAAGAAAACTTACTTTACTGTTACTAAAGTTGATTAAAAACATAAATTAACGAAATGAAGCTTGGTAAGGTTTATAGTTCGAACGATAATATGAAGGTCGACAGTATATGATTTTCAAGTTTATTTATCAAAGCTACGTGTCATTGCAATGTTTTGGCAGAGTTACACGTCATCCTCAATGGCTGTGCCTTTACTTTTATAACCTATTCAATGAGGAAGATCCATACAGTAGTGTCAATATTATAATTCATCATATTAAAAATAATAGTTGAATTGTTCCTGTAGATAAATAAAGACCAATGTGAACAGCCAAAACCTCTCAGGAGTGACGAAAACATTGACCTAATCAGGACAAGTCTTATAAACTATTTTATAGATATTAACAAGACCTTTATGATAAGACCTGGTGATGTCTGTACAAGTGTAAAGGGAAGAATACATCAAGACATGAAACTTTTTACACAGACAGTGCAAATACTCCAGACACAACCCTAATGAAACAAAAATTACCAGACTGAGATAAGGTAGTGAAACATCAATGACGATTGACAATGATGAGATATTCCTGGTTAATATCATGTTCAGTGATGCGGTCTACTATCATCTTACTGGACATGTTAATAAGCCAATCATAAGTTTATGAGCCAGTGAGAAAACCCATTATCCACCAGGAAGCCATCATGAAGCCTTTCTAGTTCGAGGGTGAGCATGAAACCTTTTTTGCCATCAATTCTGAACGTTACCAAATCTTATTGGAGATAAGTTCTTGACTACACTGAAGAGAAACAGGAATTTCCACACTAGAATTCCTTCCAGGTACATTCCCTGGTGAACGTTTCATTCCAAATAACACCCCAAATATTTGGACGCTGTCCTCACCAGGTATGAACTCATATCCTCAGGAACAGAACGCGTCCCCGGGCTACGAACGGGTTCCGTTCCTAAGACCGTTCTTAAATTGGGAATGTATGCATGTTGAAACACATAATATGTGCATACCGTTCTTACAGAACAATGTTTAAAATCCCACTATATCTTAGCTTAAGTGCTTATATACATATAAAATCACTTAATTTAAGAGAAAGGAAGAAATAGAATGACAAAATACAGTAAATTAAAGTAAAAAATAAGTCACCAGGAAAATAAAATACTGTAAATTTTAAGGTTAACCTCGGTCGTATCGGTTGACGTTCGTAAGTCAGAAATTCGTAAATTGGGGACCCATAACCCCTTTTGTGGTAGCATTTCCAAGATACCGTGTATCAGGCCAACCCACACACTGTTGGAAAACTTCAAACACAACATTATCCACAAAAAAATCCTCCAGATTCCGTTCGTAATGTTATTGTTAGTTGTTGATTAGTTCACTCTTCGTGTACAGGCCGTAGCCGGACAACAATGCGCATGGATCGACAATATCATTAAGTAAACTGACTGTAATTTTATGTCTGTGAAGCCACTGACCAATATTGTGATGCATTTCACATTGAAAACTTTTATCTTCAGCCAATTAATTTGGTAAGTATTAATGTTATTATAAATACCTTAAGAACTAGAGATCCTTTATTTGGGCTATATCCTTATGGACCAACCCGTATTCCGACTAATCACTATCACGACTTGACAATAATGCTGAGGGCAGGAATAGTTGACTTGGTTCAGATGATAAGCTCCTCAGAAATCCCCAGGGTGCAAATGTTTCTCACTTCCTAAACAGATGAGGGGGAGGAGGGGATATGAGAAATATCAAAACAAAAGTCTACTCCTTGAATTCAAATAATACCAATTACATGGTGATTATATGGTGTCTGATTGAAGGAATGTTAATCCTACTGTCAGGTGGACTTTTTTCTGTTTTTAAAACTAAGGTAAATTCATTTCTAAATAATTGTAATTTTGTATCAAGAGTTCACGATAGTCAAAAAGAAGAATGGGAATAACCCATTACGAGATTTTGATTACGAGAAACTAGATCAGGTTTTTCAGGATGTTTTGTAAATCAGTTGCTCTGTATGCAGCACAATGTACTTAGATAAAAATGACAGTAAAAACGAAGAGTTTCTAAGTTTAAGGAGAAAGAGCATTAGAAAGAGTAATGGGGTGGGGGGGGGGTACGGGTGTTGTGTGGAGTACAGAAGGAGGTTGAGAACGTACAGGTGATATGAAGGGAAGGCGGGTCTGTGTGAAAAGAGGCAAGATACATGCAATATGAGAACTAGCCCTCGTCTTTCGCTTGTTACAATATGCTTACGGGCATCAAAGTCCATGGCACGGGACAAAGAAGGCTACAGTAGCATCCATAGGTCTACTGGAACACACACGTCTTTTGGCACTTTACAGAGCTATCGGGACGTACTCTTCTCCTTTTTACCTTTCCAGGTCAGGGAATCATAACTACTGAACAAAGATTGGGTGATAAGAACCAATTAAATGACCATCGAGGTGTTCGGACGTAAAACCTCTTGATTTTGCCGCTGAAATTACCTACAATATTATGTCGTCAACCAAGATCGTCCAACAATTGATCCAAAAGGAAAAAATCACGAAGTGTAACGTCCGGACCTATGAGAAACTATACTTGCCTGCTTGCCTTCCTACCCACCCACCCACCCACCCACGCCTATTTTTTTCACATATAACAGTACGAATACATGATGAAGGTTATAAAGTAACTTAAAACAGATCAATTGCTCGAACAGCTTGTAAGATGATATATTTGTGAAATGCTGAATTAAATACTGGACGAAGGAATCCCTCGAGTGGATATTACTAGAGAAGAAAATACCCAGACGATTGTAGAAACATATGGGGAGGTCTTCATCAATACAGGAACTTACCTTTTGACCTGAGACCCGGCGTCGTATCTTTAAGCATACGGGAACATTGTATTACACTGGTCTACCTCCTAGTGTGTAATCTCATTCTGTTTTCTTGAACAATGTCTGTCAGACAGCCACCCGCTCACTCACAGTGGTTACCAAATACTGACCCATGCAGGCTTGACCACATGATTTTAATGTCTATAAACACCGCCAGAGTAACGGGTCACTTGAACAACCAAACTACGGTAGGATAATTCACACAATAACTGATTATTTTTCCTCTGAGTTTTTATGCAATCCACAGTATTTATCTATTTATTTTTGGGTTCAGCCATCGTGTGTGTGTCGTCCATCATATATCAGAAGATAAGCGTCGTAGCTAATTTTCTTGAATTTATTGACACTTGAACTCTTTTTTTTAACATAAATTTTTTTTTTTTTTTTGTAATCAATTTATTGTTATATCGAACAAGTAATATTAATAACGTCACTAGCAAAGACAGCCTGACTTAAGGTCAGGAATGATTGACACAGCCAGTCACGATGAAAGGTGGCAGGAGGTGCAGCAGGTGGGCAACAGTAGCAGGTGTGCAGGTCCCCACGGACTATACCTGTATATATACTCTCTGTAACACCATCCCAACTCACACTCGAGTAGCACCCCTGGTCTTATAAGGTAAGTATCTTCCTCAAACCTTGTGATTAACAAGTTGTGACTAAAAGAGTTGCAACAGTGTTTCACTCATTATTAAAAAGGTCTTTACTACAGGGTAAGTCAGGTAATGTGTTGAAATATTTACTTGCATCGAAAAAGAAAATTTATAGTAAGGACTGACAAAAATAAGACACTTATGAATAGGACTAATGAGTTAACGAAGGTTTAACATACAGTACATCATACAAGGGTTATCTCTTCATTTTTGCCCCAGATGAAGGTCGTAGCATTGTTCCTCTTCGGCTTGGCCTTGGCCGCCGCCAACCCCTCCTGGGAAGAATTCAAGGTAAGGTCACCGTGAATGTCAGTTTCTTGGTCATATAAGTCATGTGTTACTTGGTTGGTGTGACTAAAATATCATGATCATACTGAGGTGGATATACTGATTTTACTGTTAACTACCAAGTATGAGAAACACCAGTGAATGTTGTGACAGCAACGAGTGTGAGCATTTTCACGACCAGACTTGACCAACACTGGCGAAGGTTATAGTACAGATATATTCTGGAAACAGTACCAGTACTTGTCGTCTCTCAGCAGCAGAGACGTGACCAATCGCCCAAACGCCTAAAGAGGCGATCAGTGGCGTAGAGAATAATGTAAAGTAAAATTAAGATAGCATCACAACTTATAACAATTAACGTGGAAAATATATTCGAAGTTGCTCTTTAAGGAGTACATGATATAAAATGGTTCATTCTAAATAACAATGTTATTTTGTGTTGGGAGTAAGAAGCTCCATATAACTTTCACACCTCTGTCATCTGGTGTTGTTGCCAACTTGTGTAGTATGGCAGGCCGTTGGTGGATGTGGTGTAGTACATGTGTGTGTTGGCTCCCACAGGGTAAGTTTGGCAGGAAGTACGTGGATTTAGAGGAGGAGCGCTACCGCCTCAACGTCTTCTTGGATAACCTTCAGTACATCGAGGAGTTCAACAAGAAGTATGAGAGGGGCGAGGTCACCTACAACCTGGCTATCAACCAGTTCAGTGACATGGTGAGTTGAAAACATTATATATTTACAACTTCATAAACTTGTCATGTATAATAACCTACAAAACGGTCCATATCAGATGAGTCTTGAAGAGAAAATATGTAATCTACATTTCATACTCATGAGACGTTTCCTAACTTCTCAATTCTTTCGAGAGATTTTCGATTAACAAGCCGTAACATTCTTGTGGGGTTGCAGACCAATGAGGAATTCAATGCTGTGATGAAGGGGTACAAGAAGGGCCCTCGGCCAGCAGCCGTGTTCACCTCTACTGACGCAGCCCCTGAGTCTACGGAAGTGGATTGGCGCACCAAGGGCGCCGTAACCCCTGTCAAGGACCAGGGACAGTGTGGCTCCTGCTGGGCTTTCTCTACGGTAAGTGTTCGGGCTGCACTAGGTATGTGCTGTAATTGGTGTGAATGGGATAGGTTGTTGTTCTAAGAATCAAG